TTTTTTTTTTTTTTTTTAACAGGTCTGCTGAAATTTAATCTTCTACCGGTGCTTTTTTATTCTTGAGAATATTTATTACTCGTTCAGTTTTATCCTTTGTGGATTCTTCTATGTATTGTTAATTTGTAGCAATTTTCCACTATGACTCATTTTAGGTTAACTGATTGTTTCAAATACGTTTTTGAACATTTTTATTAATAAAAATATATTAATTTTATTATTGTATGCTTTTCATTATTTTTTTTTGTGTCTGTTACCACTTTTTCTCAGCTCTCACCGAACCAATTTCTTTCAATGATACGTCAAAATATCACAAATTGTATCTAGTCGAAGATATTACGCTCAAAAATTGAAAAAAATGCCCTCGTTCCCCGTAAATGGGGGAAACCTCCAAAAAAATTACAAATTTAAAAATCGATAATTTTCGAAATTTTTTCAATTTTTTTTACTTAAAAGTGCCATAACTTTTTCAAAAATGAACATATCAATATAATTCATTTTTATATAAATGTGTAATATCATTACCTTTTGTTTGGTATATTTTTTTCATAAATTTAACCCTTAACCTTCCTACAAAAGGGAATTTAAAATTACAATTTTTTCAACTTAACTTTTGAAAATGTTCCGGAAGGTCTGACACTTTTATATATATCTTAAATTAAAGCTAATGTAATATTCTTTATTATGCAAAAAAAAAATTTCGGACTTTATTTTGTCTTCACGGTGAAAATGGTTACCAAATGCTATTTTTATGTGAAAATTCTCGATTTTATTTTTACATTTTTAACTTTATAATGCTATGACATAATGAAAAGTGTATGTATCAACATTATTTTTTTATGAGAAATAATATTTTTTAATAATCCCTTTTTCATTCTACATACTTTATCTTAATTAGGATATTAATAAGGAACCAGCAGATCAAGTAGTTTTAGAATAAAACACCAATTTTTTAAAATAAAACAGTATCTAAAGATTTGCATCGAAGCGTTTTTTTTTTATAGTGATTTTAATTACTGTCAGATATCATTATACTTGATCCATCTATACCACGTCACCACTGTGCCGCGCCCCCCTGTGCTGGATTTTTTATTATTAAAAAAAAAAATAAAAAAATGGTAATACTGTAAGGTAATGGAACCGTGTGGACGTAATATTGTTGGGATAAGTATAGATGATTTCTGGCAGTTATTTAAATCAATTAGCAATATAAAGTTGAAAATATAAAATATGACGTCTAAACTTTTGGCAAAGAAATTACGTGGTTTTTTAACTACGTCATTGATATGTACATAAAAAATAAATCGTCAGGACAATTTTTTTTTTTTTTATTTGTAGTACTTAATATTAGCTTTAACTGAATATATGTTTAAAAGGCGCAGTATTTTCTAAACGTATTCAAAACTAGAGTCGAAAAAGTAAAATATTTGTACAGAAGTTGCTATTTTGAAACTCTCACTTTAGGTTGATAAAATGTGATGACTCAAATAAAAAGGATTCACCTAAGGTGTTTATATAAAAAAACGTTCATTTTGTTGAGCTCATTTTTCAAAAAATAGTGGCAGTTTTAAGAAAAAATATGTCAAAATTTATTTATTTTAGAAATCGTAAATTTTTTGGAGATTTCCTACATTTATAGGGAACAAAGTAAATATTTTTAATTTTTAAGGGCAATGTCTTCAACTAGATACGATTTGTGATCTTTTGACAAATCGTTGAAAGAAATTGGTCCGGTTAAAACTGAGAAAAAGTGGCAAGAAATATTTATTTATATAAAAGAATACCTTCTCAACATCGGTTTGAAACTAAAAATTATGTTTTTAACATAGTCTATAAATGCATAAATTGAATGAATAACCATTTTTTATCCATTGTCATTACAAAATAATTAGATGGGTCGATTGCAATTTTAATAAGTATTTTTATACATAGTGTAGGTATGTACCGACGGTACAGTATGCATTAAATATATTCTAATTAAGTTTTATGATTTATAAGTGCAATACATATATATATATAATATAAATATAAAAAGGGAAATGGTCTGAATTAAAAAAAAAGTATGTCGAATGAAAGAAGTATATAAACATCATTATTTCTCTTCCATTCATTCATGATCCATTCATTTTTCAAAAAGTTATAGTATTAGCTTCGATGCGAAGCGGAGAAGGTATTAATTTTACTATATGTGTTTTTATGTCTGTTGCCACTTTTTCTCAGATCTCACGAGACCGATTTCTTTCGAAAATACGTCAAAAGATCACAAATCGTATCTAGTTGAAGACATTACCCTTAAAAATTGGAAAAATTCTCTCGTTCCCCGCAAATGGGGGAAATATCCAAAAAAATTACAAATTTAAAAATCGCTAATTTTTGAAATTTGTTCACTTTTTTTTCTTAAAACTTCCATAACTTTTTGAAAAATCAACAAATCAACATAACTTTTTTTTATACTAAAACTTTAGATATCTACCTTTCATTTGATATCATTTTTTTGAAAATCTATCGCTTATTCTGCTCATTGGGGAGGATTTAAAATGGCAACTTTTTTACAAAAATTAACTTTTTCAACTTAATTTTTGAAAATGTTCCGGAAATACTGCGACCTTCAAACATATATCAAATTAAAGCTTATTTAATGTACTATAAAATGAAAAAAAAAAATTTGTCCCGTCGACCTATCTTCTATACGCAAATTGCTGCCGTAGTTAAAAAAACACTATTTTTGTGTTAAAATTTTCGATTTTAAATTTTCAACTTAAAAATGCTATAACTTTTTGAAAAATGTATATATCAGCACAAATTTTTTTTCTAAATATATTATAAGTGCATCTTTCATTTGAAATACTTTTTATTAAAATTGGACAATTTCCCCTTATTTCAAAACTTAAAATATTGTAAAATACATTAATATTTTTCTTTACACATTTATCAAATTAAAGCTTATTTTATGTACTATCAAATAAAAAAAAAAATTTGTCCAGACGACCTATCTTCTATACGCAAATAGCTGCCGTATTCAAAAATATGCTATTTTTGTATTAAAATAATGGGTTTTGTATTTTATTTTAATAGAAATTGATGTTGATTTTGCAATTATCCATCAATTTTTTTAAAATTAAACACTATCTACAGATTTGCATCGAAGCGTTTCTTATGATAGTGATTTTAATCACTTTCAGATTAAATCTATACTGGACCTAACTATGTAATGTCTCCAATATGCCGCGACCCCACTGTGCTACCGTTTTTTAAAGTTAAAAATATAAAATCGAATATTTTAAGACAAAAATAGCATACGGTGAAGACTACAGAAATTCGAAAATTTTTATTTCATAATATAGTATATTACATTATCTTTCATTTAAGGTACTTATATAAAAGTGTCAGTATTTCCTAAACACATTAAAATAATAATATTTTGTGAAAAAATTGTCATCTTGAATCCCCCCCTTTGGGCATGTAAAGGGTCAGATTTATAAAAAAAAATATATTAAATGATAGATAAAGACATCGTGCATCTATAAAAAAATAAGTTATTTGTTTTTGATAGAGTTATAACAGTTTTAATTAAAAAGATTGAAACATTTTTGAAAATTAGAGATTTTTAAATTTGTAATTTTTTTGAAGATTTCGCTCATTTACGGGAAACGAGGGAAATTATTTCAATTTTTGAGAGTAATGTTTTTGACTAGATACAATTTGTGATCTTTTTGCGTATTGTTGAAAGAGATCAGTTTGGCGAAAGCTAAGAAAAAGTGGTAACAGACACAAAAAAAAAACAAATTATAGTAAAATTAATACCTTCTCAACATCGCATCGAAGCTAAGTTGTTAATAAGAGTCAGAACGTTAAAATACAGACAGATAACTCAATATTTATTTCATCAATTTTAATTTTAGAATTGACGTTATTGCTAAAAGTTTACATTATTAGAAAACAAATGTATTTGAAATTCTAAACTTACATGAATTTCTGAAAATTTTTCTTTTTGAGCACAATTAAACCAGTTAGAAGCTATTATTTTATAGTGATTTCCAAATGTGATAATGTATAGAATAAAATATATGTTTTAACTAAATTAAAATATTTAAAACAATTTTCCTCGGATTTAGAGGTCCACAAAGTTAGAAATTGTATAAAATACACTTGTTTTAATGTGCATAAATAAATGACGTCAATTCTAAAATTTAAAATTTATTAAATTAATATTGAATAATCTGTTATTTAACGTTGTGGTTGTTCTTAACATTTTTACACTGAAAAAGTCAAATGAAAATGTCATAAAAAAATTTTTTTAATCTAAATATATCACTAAAACCAAAACAAATAGTCGGGCAACCTTTTCTAGATGATTTGGCATGGATTGACTCAAAAGCTCTAACAATTATTTTTTTAAATTTAAAAAAAAAAAAAAACGGTAGCACAGTGGGGTCGCGGCATAGTGAAGACATTGCATAGTTGGGTTCAGTATAGATTTAATCAGATAAAATCACTATCATAAAAAACGCTTCGATGCAAATCTGTATATAGTGTTTAATTAAAAAAAAAATTGTAGTAGTACAAAAAACATCCCGATAAAAGGTCATTTTTATCGCAAAAATTACATTTTTTTTAAATTTTCGACAGCTATTTGCACATAGAAGATAAGATGTCGGGACAAATTTTTTTTTTTCATTTGATAGTACATTAAATAAGCTTTAATTTTATATATGTTTAAAGAACGCAGTATTTCCGGAACATTTCCAAAAAAAGTTGGAAAAGTTAATTTTTGTAAAAAAGTTGCCATTTTAAATCCCCCCCAATGAGCAGAATAAGCTATAGATTTTCAAAAAAATGATATCAAATGAAAGGTAAATATCTAAGGTTTTAATATAAAAAAAAATTATGTTGATTTGTTGATTTTTCAAAAAGTTATGGAAGTTTTAAGAAAAAAAAGTGAAAAAATTTCGAAAATTAGCGATTTTTAAATTTGTAATTATTTTGGATATTTCTCCCATTTGCGGGGAATGTGGGAATTTTTTTCAATTTTTAAGGTAAAATGTTTAATTATTTTTTATTATTAATATCAAATAATAAAAAATATATTTTTAGCATAGTGTAAGAATGCATTAAATAAAAAAATTGATGATAAATTTTTAGTAGATCAAAAGTTATAATATTAGAAAAATATCGTGAATCTTGTTGTTTTTAGATAAAGAGAGTTTCAGGTTTGTAAGTTTTTAAATTTTGTTCGCGATTAATAGGTTAGATGTTTCCACATCACTAAACATTAATATAAACTATTGTTGAAATTATAAAAATTGTATTTATATTGACGTTAAATACTTTGTAGTCATTTATGAAATTAATGTATCTGCTTATTTGTGGACATACTTACCATTTTGTAATAACTTAAAACAGTTTTTAATTACTTAAAATTATGTTTTAATTAAAGAAAGTTTTAAAATTATTTTGAACAGAATTCAATTGTGTAAGTATCAACTGAACTGTATACTAAATAATAATTATTTATAATGCATAATACCACGTACATTTTCATCAATAACTTAATTTCAAAACACAAAATTATTAATTTACTTTTTGGTTTTTAAACAGATGTTATTAATATAGATTTTATTGACTTAACAAATAATATGAACAATTATATTATTAGATATGAAGTTATAATAAGCTATTGTATATCCACTTCTAAAAGACGGTTTTATAAAATTACGATAATTTACCAACTTGAAATTCGTTACACTTTAATACAATGTGATATATAAAAAGTTCTTATTTCATTATTTTTGCTCGACCAAAATATTTCAGAAAAATGTAATAATTAAAGTTTTATTTATTTATATGACCATGCTTTTATGCAGAAGTTACTATTTTGAATTACCTCCTATAGTAGTTGAAGTGTCTGGTTTTCAAAAAATATATATCAAATGGTAGGTAAATATCTAAGGTATCTATAAAAAGAAAAATTATTTTGATATATTCATTTTTCAAAGAGTTATAGCAGTTAAAAAAAAAAAGTTTAAAACATGTCAAAATTTACCGATTTTAAAAATCGTGAAAATATCATATTTCAACAATTAATTTACTAATAAATATATAAATATCAACAATAATAAATACAAGTTCAACCTTAACTGTCTGGCACAACAATAATTATAAAATAAAATCAACTAAAAATAAATAAAAAAGAACAGCTAATAAATCACTTTATTATAACAGAATTATTTGCTAAATATATTAGCAGTATCTTACGTCATAAATTCTTATTTTACCCCAATAACTATTAATATATATATTTATATATTCAGCTTGTTGTATAAATCACACAATTAAAAAACATGTATTACGAATATTATCATTGACATGTAACCATCATTAAAATATTAGATGCATACTTAATACACAATGAGCATGTTAAATACTTGACACTGCCCCGCGTCGCTTCGTTATCAGACAACTTTATCTGCCGACGTCCTAAAATGAGTATTTGACTGGCCAACACCGCGTGTGATATGTCACGGTACTAAGTCCAGCAAGTGCCGCACAGCCGACGACGACCCGCCGCAAATGATAAGTTGAGTCTTCTTCTCGTTGTCAAAGTGATAACGTTGAGGATGTGCATCACCGACTCCGGACGTGTCGTACCACTGGACTCGACGAAACGCTGCTAACTTTTTGACGGCCGAGGATAATGCCGGACACCTCGTCGCCAAAGCCAGCGAAAGTGCCGCGATATTATGCAAAAATTATTATTACTGTGTTCGTCTTTTCGGGTTGTTAGTTTTTTTAGCTTCGATACGAAGCTGTGAAGGTATTAATTTTACTATGATTTTTTTTTCTTTTTGTGTCTGTATACGCTCAATCTCAGCTCTGGCTGGACTTATTTTGATGAACAATATGCCAAAAGATCACAAATCGTATCTAGTCGAAGACATTACCCTCAAAATTTGAAAAAACTCCGTCGTTCTCCGTCAACGGGGGAAATCCCCCAAAAAATTACAAATTTAAAAATCGCTAATTTTCGACATTTTTTCAATTTTTTTTACTTAAAATTGCCATAACTTTTTTAAAAATGACCAAATAATTCAATTTTTTTTTTAATTTACCTTAGGTATTTACCTATCATTTTATATATTTTTGTGAACCTTTGACCCTTTACAAGCCAACAGCAAAGGTTTCAAAATGGTAACTTTTTTATAAAAATTTAACTTTTGAAAATGTTTCGGAAAGACTGACACTTTTATGTATATCTTAAATTAAAGTTAATGTAATGTACTTTATTATGGAAAAAAAATTTTGGACTTTATTTTGTCTTCATGGTGAAAACGACTACTGTATTACAACATATTTAATTTTTGTGTTAAAATTCTGAGTTTTGTATTTTATTTTATTTTAAAATTCCTGAGAAGGGGAGTACAGATTTTCATAAATATTATATAAATAAAAAATTGATGTGCTACCGTTTTTAAATAATCTGTTTTGCTTATTCATAAACGGCCCACGGGTCTACCCTCAAAACCAATATCGACTACATTATTGCGACGTAAGTCGTGTCATACTATTTATAATATATATATATATAAGGAAAACTCTTTATCAATTGCATATAATTAATATTAAAATAAAATTGGGGGTTGTTTATGTATGTTGACACAATTTTTTTAATTTTAATTCTCATATCATTAATATTTCATATAGAGCACAATAACCAACTTTAACGATACACGAAAAAACCCATATGGTCGGCTTAATTGAATAAGAATTACGGTTTATATATCAACAAACCAATTATACTGTTAGTTCAACTATTCATATGGTTGAACTATGTATTAGAAATATTTAACTACATTTATTTAATGTATTTGACTAGATATTAGAGTTGGGACTAAATAGTTAGTTTGCCGCTATATTGAGCATAGTTATAAAATATGTATTATAAAACGCATTAAAACATAATTTGATCAATTTATTCTTTTATGATTATTTATTTGTCTCATTAGGTTTACAAATAAAAAAATAAACAATGTAAATACAGCAAGAATCTATGAAATTGAGAAATTGTTTTATATTAGTAACTAATAATACTAAATAATATTATTGTTTTTCATAATAAAGTATATTTTTATTGATTGTATATATAAAGAACATTATAAAAATTGAAAAAAAAAACGAATTTGATATGATGATTATGTCTCTAATATGTCCTTTATAATTTTGATGCGTAACTAAGAAGGTCTTAATTTTACTATATGTTTTTTTTGTCTGTCCATATAAATACTCATCTCTCACAAATAAAAAGTAACAATATGAATTTCATGATGAATTAAATGGAAATATGAATAAACAACGGTTGAGAGAACAGTGAACAAATGCGCACAAATATCAACTATATTCGATCTCTTAAACCAATAAACACGGCATCACCGAAACGACGGATTGTAGGTTAGAAATTATACTACTACTAATTAAAGCAACTCATTCACATACTATATAGCAAAAAAAAAAAATTAATATGTTTATTCTTTTATACGTATAAATTTTATTATTGTCATACACAGAAAACTATTTTTTCTTCTTATGTTAACAAATTGTAATTAAACCAATCTTTTTATATTTATAAAATAAAGCAAATACCATTTCATTGTATAAATCGTCATTCCCAAACAGATATGCATTAAATCTTTTTTATGATAGCGATGTTAATCACTGTCAGGTATCATTTACATATATATTTTCCCAACTATGCCACGTCTCCACTTTGCTGGTTTTATTTTTTATTTCAAAATATATTGTATAAGCTTTAATTTGTTTTAGGATATAAAAGTCAGTTTTTTTAACATTATCAAAAATTCTAAGAAAAAATTTATTTTATGATTTTGAAGACCCCACAGATCCTTAATTAATGATTTTATTTCCAAAAAGAATGTGTCTTCGGCAAAGAAAATGTCTAAAATATTATTAGTAGGTTAAAAAAGGGTGATGGATGGCGTGAATCACTATTTACTAGAAATATTCCGTCAAATTAAAAATTCTAATCATATATCGTTTAGTACATATGTCTCTTGTATGACAACATTTGATAAGTGTCAAAGTAAAATGATTCAAAAAATACAAAACCTTTGCGAAGCCGGATTGTTTTATAAAGGTAATATTATTGTTTATTATTATAATATTAAACTACAACAAGATATAGTTACATACTCAGCGTTTATATATAGTTTATTTTGCTGAAGAATACTAATATTTACACCGATTCATTTCATATTGATTAATTCATAGTACATATAATTTTAAGCAATGTTCGAAATTATCGAATGTTGTTTTGCTGTAGTTAAGTACTAAACATTGGGATGACGATGACGAGTCATGAACAGAATATGCACAATGGTCTCCCAAATGCACTTGGGTTTTATTCAATAAAGGTAAAATATTTATAGACAAACTGTGTGGAAAATAGGATGTAAATAATTAATCTTAAAAAAAAAATCTTATTTATATGTCTTAATAATTAATTATTTTGTGATGTACAATAAATGTATTAGTTTTACAAAAAATGTTTTTTTATATTTAATGTTAAGAGTAATTAAACATAATGCTTTATACAAGCTACACATTTTGTAGTTGTTTACGTGTCGGACAAATAATGGTTTTGTAGAGCAAAATAGATTATATAACGTTGGACAATCCAAATCTTCCACGACGATTACATTTTGATTAGGTAAATACTTTTCCAAAACACTTTTTTCATAGAACAGTAGTATCCAAACGATGATGACCCTTTTTGAGCCAGTTTGTAGTTTTCGTATCGTTCTTGACGGCATTTGATTGTTTGAACACCCAGTGACAAAGACTTGTAGAGTCAAGAGCGATGACGGACAATTCTTTAACTAAAAGTAAATGATCCGCAGAAATTAGACTCTGTATGTCAAATATCGGTGAGAAACATGCTTTCAGTATCCATTATATGTATGTGTTACAGTAACAGTTACACAAAACATATTATAATATACATTATACGGAATTTTACTTCTAACTTCATATTATAATAATTTGTTTATTAAAAAAAAAAAAAGGCTTATTTGGGTAAAATCAGTTTTATTCATATTCAAATTTGCTTTTTACATATTCTTTTTCGGTTTTACCTCATACACGGTTTTGGCTTAATCACAGGTTTTAAAAAAAGAACATTTTTGTATTTAATCAGGTTGTTGAGTCTTAAACATAAAATATCCTGCGTTTAAACTCCTCTAAAAAGAATATCAGGCATATTTTTATCATGATCTGCATCAACTCTTTATTAGATAAATTTTGAAATTAAAAAAAAAAAACACATATATGTACAGCTCAATTTCTAACAATTCTAACCAAAACACATAATGCTATTTCAAAATCACGTTGTAACAATTACACACTAAAACTAGTTAAGATAATTAATGAATACTGTCATGCATTTTCAATAGAGAAATTAAATGTAAACTTACATATATATAGATTATATACGGATAATGATCTAAAATTACTGTAATAATATTTTTAGAAATTATTCTCGAAATACTATAACACACCTTTTAGCTTTTTTATTATATTTTACTTTATTGTAAAACTTCTTCACTTAAGTTAACCAAATATTGTATAATTGGCTACTTCAAAATTTATTTCTCTGAAGAAATAAATAATATTTTCTTTGGTGATAATCTCTTGGAATATATTGAGAAGGAAAATTCCCAAATTTTTCCCTAGAAAGTTCTATCTTTACAACCCTAGCAGTATCCAATTAATAGCGGATTAGATTGACCAAATGAAAACCCACTATTCTAGATCTTTAAATGCAATTATTTAAAAAATATAACTAAATTGATTATTAACTAATTAACATTGAAGTAAATTTTTATACTTGAAATTCTCCTTTAAGTATTAAAAATTACCATGTAATAATAATATTAATAATTTTATTAATAACTAAATACCAATTATTATTGATTATACTGAATATTTACTTAAATTTCAAGACGAAAGAGATAGGCAAAACTACTTACACGTCTATATATTATTAAGTGTTTTGTTAGTATTTAGGCGTATTTATTGTTTCCTTTATTTGACAATAGTTAAAATTACATCATTTATAAACGTACAAATATGTCAATATAAACTCAATAATTTATTATGATAGACTCATATGAACTTAATTTAATTTTGTATTCCTTAAAACAATATAAAAATTGATTTGAATAAAACATATTAATTTTAAGTCAGTAAATTCAAAGTTATTTATTTTATTAGCTCATAAAAAATTTGTTTGAAATAATACTGAAAAAGTTATTTGATTTATATTTATAATATATCAGGAATTTCAAGCTACAGTTGACAGAGTCAGAGATTTAGGCATTATGATTTTAAAAATTTTATACAAAGCTGACCGCAAACGTTTGTATTATATTTTTGTTTCTGATTATAATTATATTTCACACGAATTCCGGTGAAATATTTTTCAAGCTCGATGAAGGTGGTAAATTTCCAAAAGAATCAAAATAAAATTTGATTTAAAAAAGTTTGAGAACTAAAAATATATATGAGTTGATTTCAATTTTTAATAATTTTATAAGGTCATATTTTTAGTTGGTTATGGTTTTAAAAGCAACTTCATAAAAACTTCTGAATAATGTAATAAGTTTTTTATGATTCCAAATTTTGCCAGATTACTAAGTATGTCAAAGAATACCATTATTAATTTATCTATGTCAATAAATTTCGCTTAGGAAGTTTTTTAGGTTATAGATAATGAACAATAACCTTAATTAAAAAAACAGTGCGTGTTACTAGTACGTGCGGATAAATAAAGTGAAACTTCTTTTGTTATGAAGATTTGTTGAGTAAATTGTATCTATTGTGGTTTTTAAAATTTTTTAAAGAAAAAAAAACACAAAAAACTTTTACGTATATTTAAATTCAAATAATATAATGATGATTAACATACATTAATGTAATTAATTAGTTTTAAATGCTATCTGCATTTGTTCTTTTTCGAATATATGCTTTTCAGAGAAGACATCACAAGATTATTTAATATTAGTGTCTGATATTTTTTTAATCATGCTTAAATATGACAGCGTTGGATCATGAGGAAGTCACAGGTGGGTTGGGTACCTCTCAAATAATGTTGTCTACTAAAAAAAGTTTATTTAATGATAAAATTGGCAAAATTTATTTTGGCGTCTAAATTATTTTAGTACCACATTTTGAAAACTTTTTGAATCACCATGAAACTTTTTTTAAAGTGTAAATACTTGAGTATTTTCAAACATGAAAATTTGGATGGTGTAACCATGCAACACTAATTAATAAGATATGCATACAGTGTTGCATACCATCAATCCCCAAATTTATTGAAAATATGAATTTCTTTTTATCTGAATCAAATTTTGTATCAGTTTCATTTATTTTATAAATATATTTGTAAATTAGTTATTATAAATGTATTTATAAATACATTGCATGCTGATAACAAAAAGACGCTTTTGAAACAACCTTATTGATATATGGATATATAGTATACTTTATAATTAATTACAATTCATTGTTTAATATGATAATAACAACATTATGTGTAAATTAAAGTAAGTACATCAATATTCCTCACAATTTCAAAAAAAAAAAAAATAATAATAATAGAAATTTTTTATTTCAATGTTTGCAAAAGTGATTATTCCTATTTATTGTTTTGATGCAATCCACGCAATACAATTCCGGACAAAAATAGGTAATGCTATATTGACCTGGTTTTTTATTACACTTTTTACAATTCTTTTTTAACCATATTATTTTATACATAGGACTTAAAATACATTAGAATAAAGTAAATATGTTAATTAAAATTTTTCTATGAACATTTGTTTTTGTAATTAAATTATTTTAATCGGCTTATAAGAACTAGGATATTACCATATTCATGATAGATAAAACAACATGGACATATCACATGCATATCAGACTTTCCTGGTCCTTAAAAGTATGAATACAAACATGAATGACATATTCTCTTTTTACAACATTTTGTCAAATAAATTTTTCCATGGTTTCCAGGAATAACTGAATCACATAAATGACATGCTAAAAATTTAAATACGTTATTTAATTTTTTCATAAATTATGATTTAAATTTTATAGAATTTTCAATTTATTAAGTTACAAAATTTATAAAATCAATTTGTAATTTATCCAAAAATAATAAATTAGTTTGAGATATATTGTTAGTGCATTACTTTGCATAGAATAGAAATGTTCCTTAATTAGTTTAAAAATTTAGCGAAAAAATCCACTCCTACCATTCAATCATAATTTCATCTCACTATTTGGAGTCCTACTAATACTCAAGGATGAGCAAGTTACTGATTTTTTTAATTTGTTAAAATTAATCCGATGTTTATTTATTTTTTAATTAAATTAATAGTTAAGTTGACGATATCTTATTAACATTGAACAAAAGATTAATTACTTTTTAAACAACAATATATTACTTTTTGGACAAAGTTTGCCTATTGCAAGTAAGATTTATTTCAACAAAAAGATTATTTTAAAAGCAAAAAAAATAATTTTTTACAACATATTATAAATTAGTGTAATATTATATTCAGAAGTATATACATTAGGATCATATAAATTAGAACGGTATTGACATTCTATGAATACGTCTCCCAGAATTGTTTTAATAAAATTAAAAAGTTAACAAGTTAAAAATAATCCGATATTTATTTATTTTTTAATTAAATTAAAAGTTAAGTCGACGATATCTTATTAACATTGAACAAAATATTAATTACTTTTTTAAACTACTATATATTACTTTTTGGACAAAGTTTGCCTATTGTAAGTTTTATAAATGTAAAACATTTTAATAACTCCCAATAAGATTTATTTCAACAAAAAAATTATTAAAAAAAAAAAAAAAAAATTATTTCAGTATTACTTTATATTTAGTAGTATATACATTAGGATCACATAAATTAAAACGGTATTGAAATTCTTTGAATACATATCCCAGAATTGTTTGAATATGCATATAAAAAATATTTTCAAAAATTAGAGTGAAACTTAATTTTTATTTAAGTTTGTAAATACATTACCAGTAGTTATTACATCTTTAGAGCAAATTAAACAGTTCGTAATTCCTTTTATTTTTAGTGAACTTAAAATACATAATACACAAAAAATAGAATCGCAAAGTTTAAATGTATCAGTTTTATTAGAAATAGCCTCTAAACAACAACTGCACTCTTAAAAATAATCAATAAATTAATTATAATAATAAAATAACAATAAAATTAATTGAACGAAGTTAAACATTTTTTACTATTTTATTCAATCAAAGAGCTATAGAATGATTTGAAATAAGATTATAGTAATATTTTACGTCTATGATAATTATACACACAAATTTTCATGAAAAAGTATTCTTTAAAAATAAAATTATAAACTTAACTTTAAGCCAAGTGATAAGATATAGAGAAAAGGAATAATTTTATTTAATTACTCATATTCCACATTAAAGTCTTATTAAATTATGTTTTAAATAGGAACATGCATATTTAACTAGTCTACAAACACGAAAATGATCTTACTAAGGAAATGGCCGACCAATAACAACATTTGAACTAGCATTTCAAAAATAATTAATACTTAAGAATAAAGATTATTGGTTAAGCATAGATCTGTTTATGTTACCATAAGAATTTTCCTAAAAAATACCTCAATTATTGCGCCCTCTATGTTAAATCTCGACTATACTGAACATTGTTTTATTTATTTTATTGAATGAAGTTTAAATTTTAATTTCTTTATTTAAAATGCATGATAGTATTCTATAATTATTCTAATGTGTTTTTTATAAAGAGATTTTGAACGGCCATTTTCTGTTGTGGTTTGAATTGTTAAAAATGTAGCTGATCGTTTATGTGTTTTATCGAGATATTTCAAAATTTAATTAATAGAGTTTAACAGACTGATGCAGACCACGACAAAAATACATTTGATAGGAGCTAATATATTTTTTTTCAAAAAGGTATTGAGCTTCATGACTTCAAAGTTTTACAGATCACCAAGTAATTCAAACAACAACAATATTAATTTTTCAAAGTCAATAAATTTCTCAATTTTTTTAATAAGATGTAATGAATTAACTATAGTTGGAAAATTTAGAACAGAAAGTGTACTTGGTGGCACAAAATCGAAACAACAAATGAAAGGTTATGAAAAAATGTTGTGTTTGACATTTTCTATAAAATGGAAAATATATTTACGAATGTTTAAATTGATATGATATATAAAAGAATTACCATAGTTAGTATTTCTAAATACTAATTGGATTTGTTCTGTTTTCGAATGTGAATTCACGAGATTAATCACGTGAAAAATATTTATGTACCCCTACGAAAATTTTCTGAAACACCATGAAACTTTTTAGAAAAGTGTAAATACTTAAGAATTTTGAAACATCAACATTTGGATGATCATGCATGCTTATTAAAAATGTTCGTTACCTATTTAAAAATCCAATCAAATCTTGAACGCCTGAGTTAAAACAAAACTATAACCAGATATATATGAGGTGTTGCCTTCCTTCTACGCCCTAAATTCATGGAAAGTTTGAATAATTTCAGCATAATTGAATCAAATTTGTAATAGTTTAATTTATTTTATAAATATATTTGTAAATTAGTTGCATTTATAAATACATTGCTTGTTGATAAAAAAAAAGGATGCATTTGAAATAACCTTTTTCATATATAGATATAATATAGTTTATAATTAATTATAATTCATTGTATTAATATGATAATAACAACATTATTTAAGATGTTTCGATGTGTAAATTAAATTAAGAACGTAATTTTTCCACACATTTTCAAAAACAAAAATAATTATAAAAATTACATATTTTCAATAAACGCAAATGTGATTAATTTTATTTATTGTTTCGAAGCAATCCTTGGAATACAAATCCGGACAAAGATGGTAAATGCTATATTTGTCTATTTTTTGATTACATTTTAACGATTCTTTTTTAACGTAGTTCACGTAATCCAAATTCCTGAAAAAATTTATAATTAAGTAAATAAGTTAATTAAAATGGTGCTTTACATATTTGTTTAAGTATTGATATTATTTAGATTTAATAGTTTTAATCGGTTTATAAGTGCAAGGATAATACCAAAATAATGATGGCCGTCACAACATGGACAATCATAAGTAAAATCTAATTTTTTAGTACATGAATCGCAAAGTCTTCTTCTACAACAATCTGTTATATTAATTTTATGTTCTGGAATGACTGATTTACATAAAAAACATACTAAAAAAATTGATTAAACTGTAAGATTTATATTATAAAATCTATACTAGAATTTTATCTAAAAATAAATTAATTCGAGATAAAGGGTTAGTGCATTAAAATCATAGTATTACGATCTATCATAAAGTTAAATATGAATAAAAAAAATTCTCATTCAAGCGACGCCACTAAGTGTGTTGCTGTGACTGATAAAATAGTCTATAAGAACGGGTTAAAAGTATTACTACAAAATTAAAAATGACACTGAAAACAAAAACCCTAAGATCCTATTGTTAACTCCAGAGCAAGTTATCTACTATTTGTGTCAAGAAGAATAATGCTAAGATTTATTTATACCATGAAGTTCAGGGGAAAAAAGGTCCTAATGAGATTTGCTCTTTTTTTAGGATCTTAAAAATGAAGTTCATTCAATACACTTACTAATATTGTTCCACTATATATATAATAGAATAAATTGTAGATAATAAGGATGAATCTTAATTTTATAGTGTATTTGTAAATACTTTACCAGTANCTTAATTTTATAGCTTATTTGTAAATACTTTACCAGTAGTTATTACATCTTTAGAGCAATATAAGCAGGTCGTATTTCCTTTTATATTCATTGAACTTAGAATACATGATTTACAAAATGTGGAATTGCATTTTTTATAAGTATCAGTTTTATCAGAAATAACCTCGAAACAACAACTGCACTCTTAAAAAGAATCAATAAATTAATTATAAAAATAACTTAATGAAGTTAGACATTTTAAAATTTTTCATTCAATCAAAGACTATAGAATAGTTTGAAATTAGCTTATATTAATACATATATTTTTATATAATTTCCCAACTAATAGTTCGAAGTATAGCCTCAGCTAATATTTGGCTTATTTAACTTGAAAATATGTATGTTATTTGATTTAAACACATTTCTTAGTATGAAGAAAATTGAATACAGCTCCCCTAAGTAATGAATTTTAACTATTTTATGCGGTAATGTTATATATGTTGTCCATGTTTGGCTTATAAGGACTTTATAAAGATAACCAAAATTGCTATTTTTAACGATAGGTAATAAGCGCAATTATCTTGGCTAATCTCTTTTAATCTTTTCAAAATACTGTACTCTTATAAGTAATAGAACACAGTGTAATGTATTAAGGCAATGAATATTATTAGAGCATTTCGTAGATTTAATTATAAATCTTAAAGGTTTAATTGTTATCAAGCAGATCTGGTCTACATGAGTATTGAATAAGATATTAGTTTGAAAAATTTCAACAAAATGATAATTATATCAAAAGTTATAAGTGTTGTCAGTTAGGTCAATACACGCTTTATATACAAGATATATCACTTACGATTGCTCAGTCGTTTTATGAGTGGTTGATTACAATATGGGCAATGATCGTTTTCTTTAGTTATTTGATCAAAGCATTCCTTGCAAAATTCGTGTGGACAAAACGAAGAATAGCTATATTTTCCTATATTTGTTTTACATTCCTTACATAATGAATTCAACTTAATTATATCAAACAGTTTACCTGAAAATTTCCATGATTCAGTTGGTAATTTAATGGGCTAAGAATTATAAACATTTATATATTTTGTTAAAATATTTTGAACATATTATCAGCCAGTACAACTTTTTATTATTTAAATTTAAAACTTAATTATGAGTTGATACCGTGGTTATTTATTTGGTGGTGATTAGGGATGTATATCCTCCTAAAACTAAACATATTTCTATGCTACTATATAAATCTATTATTAAGTTACACAAACTTAAGGCCTTCGATGTGGCTTAAACACAATTTATAAATGCATATCATTTCTAGCCTTTGTAATTTATATAATTAAATTTTCTTATGTACAACTATTACCAGTGCTTCATTTCGTACAAATTGATCTACCCCTCAGTTTAAGACAAAACATAAAGGCAATTAAAAATAAAAAATTTTTAAATGTATTTTTTGAAAAATAATTTTTATGTACCCCAAAAGTGTTAATTTCAATATTTGTAAAAACAATTATTTTTTCTAAATAAATTATTTGTGGTATTGGTTGGGAATATTTAAAATACTACAGAAAAGGAACTCCTAAAAGTTTTAAAAGCTTGTTCTGGAGGTATTTGTAGAGTGTAAAACCCCATCTCCTAATAGTTACTATTTAATTATTTTAGTTATTTATTTAATATGAAGTGTAATTTATTGTGTATGGGTAACTTCATTTTTCAATAAAAATGTATAGATTAAAATTTAAATCAATTTTAATAAGCGCTGCTAAACAGTACTTCGCACTCACATTTTCTGAACCTTCAAATCCTAACATCTTAAAAAGTAATAATAGAAAACTAGTTTTCGAGTAGTTAACATATTATTTAGACCATTATTAATTTAATATGTACATTAAAATTTTGTTTAATATATTATAAGCATCACTATTTTAAAATAAAATTGATATGTAATACAGTTACATCTAAATATTATTACCTTTTGTTTTATACATGTTGCAAAAAGGACAACTGCCGTTAAGAAAGTTTTCTTTATTAATTTTAAAAAAGCAATTGTAACAAAATGCCTTATTACAACATGTTGTCACATACTTTTTCCCATCTTCATAAATATTCGAATAACACATAAAACACACTAATAAAATTAAAATCAAAGTATTATAATGATGTACTCACAATTATAATTAAATTTCATTCTAAACTGAAATTATTATTTCAAAATGTTTTAAAGATAATACTATATTTTCAATAACCATTTTGTAGTAATTTTTAACAAGTGAGCGTTCAGATTGTTTTTTATTAGCTTCGATGGGAAGCGTAGAAGGTATTAATTTTACTATGATGTGTTTTTTTTTATGTCTGTTGCCACTTTTTCTCAGCTCTCACTGGACCGACACTTCTTCTTCTACATTTAAACGGCTGTCGTAGTTAAAAAAACACTATTTTTGTGTTAAAATTTTCTATTTTTAATTTTTAATTTAAAAATGCTATAACTTTTTGAAAAATGTATATGTCAGCACAATTTTTTTTTTCTAAATACATTATAAGTACATCTTTCATTTGACTTACTTTTTATTAAAATTGGACAATTTCCCCTTATACAGGGGGCGTTCAAAACTTGAAATATTGCAAAAAACATAGATATTTTTCAACTGAACTTTTGAAAATGTTCCGGAAATACTGCGTCCTTTAAATATATATCAAATCAAAGGTTATGTTATATAATATCAAATAAAAAAGAAAAATTTGTACCGACATCTTATCTTCTATGTGCAAATGGCTGTCAAAAATTAAAAACCAACCCAGCGCAGTGGGGTCCAGTATAGATGATATCTGACAGTGATTAAAATCACTATCATAAAAAACGCTTCGATGCAAATCTGTAGATAGTGTTTAATTTTAAAAAATTGGTGGATTATTCCAAAAGCTACATGATCTGTTAGTTCATTATTAATATCCTAATTAAGATAAAGTATATCGAATCAAAAAGATATTATTAAAAATTATTGTTTCTCATAAAAAAATTATGTTGATCCATACACTTTTCAATAAGTTATAGCATAATAAAGTTAAAAATGTAAAATACAAAATCGAAATATTTCACACAAAAATAGCATTTGGTAGCCATTTTCACCATGAAGATAAAATAAAGTCCGAAATTTTTTTTTTGAATAATAAAGAACATTACATTAGCTTTAATTTAAGATATATATAAATGTGTCAGACCTTCTGGAACATTTTCAAAAGTTAAGTTGAAAAAGTTAATTTTTTGTGAAAAAGTTTGTTAAAATAGCATATTTTTGGATACGGTAGCCATTTGTGCATAAAAGATAGGTCGTCGGGACAAATTTTTTATTTTTATTTTATAGTACATAAAATAAGCTTTAATTTGATATATGTTTAAAGGACGCAGTATTTCCGGAACATTTTCAAATATTAAGTTATTTTTTGTAAAAAAGTTATCATTTTAAATCCCCCCTTGTGGGCTGGTTAGGGGTTAAATTTATGAAAAAAATATACAGAATGAAAGGTAATGATATTATGCATCTATATAAAAAAGTTAAAATTATATTGACATGTTCATTTTTGAAAAAGTTATGGCACTTTTACGTAAATAAAATTGAAAAAATTTCGAAAATTAGCGATTTTTAAATTCGTAATTTTTTTGGAGGTTTCCCCCATTTACGAAAAAATTATAATTTCGTTACATCTAATGCAAACGTGTATAAAAATTGATAGGATTGATGCAAAACTTTTCAAAAAATAATTTTTCTTACTACTGAATATATACTGTTCTACAAGGAAAATTCATCAGAATCCAAAATATACTTTTCTTGAGCAATTTATAAAACAAAATATAAAATTACGAAATATAGGGAAACACGTAATATTTTTGAATATCAGTATATTATAGAATACAATAGGATAAAACTATACGGAATCAAGTTCTGAGTATTTCAATTGTAATGTCAATTTAAATACCAAGAGTTATATAAAAATGATAACTATGATATTAGTATGATATTATCGATATTAATGTAAAAAAATAGTGATTATAAAGAAATTTTCTGAAAAAATATTGATAAAAAAAATACGATTTTTTAAATTTTCTTTAAATTTTCTATTTAATAATATTAATTTCAATTGTTTACATGGAGAAATTTTATTTAAGCAACATATTATTTGATAAAGTGAACATTTCTTTCAATTTTAGAGTGTAATATCTCTAAATAGATACTAGTTGTAGCCATTTGATATATCATTGAAAAAAATTGGTCAAGTGAGAGCTAGGAAAAATTATTGATAGACACAAATAAAACCACAAAAGAAAATAAATTTGATATACATAAAAAATTCCACCTCACAACGGGAAACGACATTTGAGGGGTCCTTGATATTTATTAAATTACATTAATTCATCTAAATTGAGTAAAAATAAAAAGAGTTTTGAATTTTTTTCCTATACTCATTTAAATTAAGAGAAAAAAATTAAAAAGTCATTGCGACGTGCGAGGTAAAAACCTAGTAGTTTATGCATGAAAGATATTAACGTAACCGACACGGTAATCGTACATTGTATTTGTTGGTAGTTAAAAAGGACAATTTAAGCTAGTTCAAATATTCAAAGTATTTTATCGAATTAAAAGAATCAAAAATTTTACATTAGTTCAATTTATATTCTATATTAGTTAGATTTTTATAAAAATCGATGCCATAATTACTGTGTCCACTATCTCTAAGGTATTTGAAAATAATAAAATCACCTAGTACATTTTTTTAAATGTACAAATGAAAAACCAATATTTGTTTTATATATTCAAGTTTTATAAATGGAATATTTATTACTATTTCATTCAGTTTTCGACACGTGTATTTTAGGATTCCTTCATAAAGTTTTGAACTCTGTTACCAGAAAAAGTCAAATTACAAGATAATGACTAAAAAAATAATAGAAATATTCATTGAAACGTAGCATTCAGAATTACTAAGCCAGACATTATGGTTTCAATGAACATCTCACATAATGCCCCTGATTTTCTGTTATCAAATCAATAAGCCTTGTTAAAAAATAAAATTAAGTTTACATTTTTTGTAGTGTTATAAATTATATATAAACTTTTTAATACTTACAATTGGGTACATATTCTTTGCATATAGGACATTTATTAACACTTATTTTTAGCCATTGAACAAGACATTTTTTACAATACTTAACTTTACAACATATTAAAGTAAGTGTTTGTACATCAAAATCTTCTAAACAAATTGAGCACACTAAAAAAAAACTAATAAGTTGTTGAGAAATAATTATTGCCTTCTAACCTATTGATAAAAATCTTATAAACATTAATCTATAGAAGTAAGAATTAATTATGTTCAAATTATAATTCAAGGTAATATAATTTTTTACACACATTTTATTTTATTTCTTTAAGTTATGTTCATTAGATTTTAAGTCACATATTAGGAGGCATTACTTTTTAGTCGACCCTCGCGGGCAAAGAATTTTCGATTTAGAATTTTCTAAAGTTGTTCACTTACCAGATATTTTTGCCAAAAATGTAATTTTAATCAAATAATTGAAAAACATTATTTTGATGAAAATTTAATAATTTTTTTTGATAATAACATTTGTTGTCAATCATAACCTTTTCTGCTCTTTGGCCATCACTTATATGGGGTTATATTGTCTTCTTTATTTACCTCACCTTTATCCTAACTACTTGAGTCTGCCATACTTATCCTAAACTTTTACTTGACACGATCTCTCACATTATCTACGCACACATTAGTCAACCTCGTATCGCATTTAAAAACATCTCTCCATCTTTTTTTTGGTCTAGGTAGATTTTGTAAAAATTCTTACTTTGTATCTATCTTTATCCCTTAAACACGAGTCCACCTGTTGTCCCCACATACAATCGAGATGGAAAAATCCTCCTAAGTTCTGTTCAGATCTCCTCATATTTTCTGACAAAATTGTACACCATCATTCGGTCTGATGCAATCTCATTAGCCGTTTCTTACGACTGGCAGAGGGACTGTGAAAGTATTCTTATCTCATTTTCACATGGGAGCACTTAAGAGGTTGTATGAATATACAAATTATAAATTAATTTTGTGTAAAATCAATTAATATTATATTAATTTACTCAGGTTGATATCGCAAAATTTTCATTGCATTAACCGACTGTAACACGTAACAGAAATTGAACACATAAATTTGTTATACAGGGTGATTTTTTTATCATAACCCACTCAATTACTTGCAGAATAATAATAATTTAAACATTTTTTTTTTTTATTATCTTTAGTTACACATTATTCTTGAATTTTTAACTATATAATACTTTTTAAGTTCATCCCTTATGCCTTGTAAGGGGGTCAACTTTGTTTTTTTAAATGGTAACACATATTTTTAATTTAATAAAATGTTTGGGTTTTTAATATAATAGAAAATGACATTTGAATTTTTAATATAACTTAATTCGTTTATTAGATATAAACATTTAAAGTTTCAAATTTTTGAAATAATATACATGTATAATACACATGGGATTGTAAATACAGGTAGTTAATTGGATTTTTATGACATTGCTGTCTCAGTCACGGATTGTTTATTATCAATTGATATACTTTCTGTATTGTCAGTTAGTGTATTTATAAACTCATAACAATGTGCCTTACTATCATTGATAATAACAATGCTGTGTACCTGCTAATATCGATGTCATAAAAAATCAATTAGCTACCTGTATTTGTAATCCCTTGTGTATTATACCTGTATATTAATTCAAAAATTTGAAACTTTAAATGTTTATATCTAATAAACGAATTAAGTTATATTAAAAATTCAAATGCCATTTACTATTAAATTAAAAACTCAAACATTTTATTAAATTAAAAATATGTGTTACCATTTAAAAAAACAAAGTTGACCCCCTTACAAGGCATAAGGGATGAACTTAAAAAGTATTATATAGTTAAAAATTCAAGAATAATGTGTAACTAAAGATAATAAAAAAAAAAAATTTTTAAATTATTATTATTCTGCAAGTAATTGAGTGGGTTATGATAAAAAAAAAACCCTGTATATTCGGAAGATAGAGAAAAATAGTAAGAATATAATTTTAAGCAAAAAAATGTTTAAAATACGTTTTATTTTTCCAAAGTACTCTTGTACTTTGTAATATTATATTATCACTTATAATATTAACATAAAATATGATTTTATCATTTATACATGTATGACACATGTTATGAATATATAAGATCACCCATTCATAGTTCCCGTCTTTAAAACACAAAATAACAAGTTAATAATGGAATAAAATTTAATTATTGTACAGATTTACAGTAACGCCTAAGTGTAGGGCCTCAATGAAGTCCAGAAAATCACATTAAACACCTTAATAAAATCTCTAACTTCCAAGATCATGATTAGGATTGTCATACTTTGTTCCTCTGACAATAAAAACTCATATTATTCTATTAAAATTAGTTCTTTTAGTAATTTCAAAATATACAAAATCTGCGACACTCTACTCAAGAATGTTATTATCTGTGACTTTTTTTCAATTTTATTTAGGACTTATGTTTAGACGGCCATATTTTTAATGTTTAATATTTGACTTGGTGATTATTGTACCGCATTCCTTTTAGGCCCGCTAAAATATCACTTTGGTAAAATTTCAACATATATATAAATATTTTTGAATCTTGTTTTGGACAGGCCAGAAGAAGCTTTAAAAATGTTAGTGTTGATCTCTCAATAAAAAATACTTATTCAATAAAGATAAAAATAAGAGTACATTATAAGTTATATTCTAATAAAAATACATAGATTATTTAAATATAAATAATATATAATGATTTATATATATATATATATATATATATATATATCTTACCATCTCTTCCGCCTAAAATATAATAATCAATGATTATTGGTTAATATTTAATCTAATAATACAGTTTAAGCGAGTACGTTAAATATACAAAAACAAATATAATTTAATTTAATCAAGTAAGTGTAAATAAATTTAGGATAAATGTATTAATTAAGGATTGAAACTTGTTCGATTTGTTTGCGGCCTCCCTAAAGAAGGAGGTTTCTAAACCATTAATACTACAGATGGTTAGTCTGTCGCCGGAGAGAAGAATTGCTACTCTAATTACCTAACTAATCTCTCGATCGATAAATGAAGCCGTCTGTGACCGAGTTTCGAACCCAAGGCAGTGAGCGTTAAGCACTGCCGCGTTACCGACTCGCCCACGCCATCCCTTTATGAGTATAATATATAAATAAATATTTATTAGGGTCAAGTGGGGTAAATGGAAATTGGGGCAAAAGGAAAAAAATATTATTTAAAATAAATTATTAGTGATTATAGAATTCGGTATCATTATAACCACAGTACACATAAGGTATAATAGTGTGCAATGATAAAAATATGGAAAATTTGAGGATATGTATAAATTGTTATCAGTCGAAAAAGTGTTTATGATTATTTTAGATTATATTTTTTGCTCAACGGCTTTTGAGAAGGGCATCTTCATCAAAAATATAAGTAGAACAGTACAGTTTGAACTAAATTGTCATTTCATATTTACTTATTTACTATACGGCCCTAAAACTAGTTTAATATCATTTTTCTAGGGAATTATGTTTTTTCTGTAAAATACAAAATAAAAATCAATTGGGGGTAAATGGAAATTTGGTTTTGGAATGGAAATATTAATAACAAATATAATTTGAGATATTACGATCTTTATAATTTTTTTTCTACTTCTGAGTGCGTAATTATATCAAAAAAACATATTTGCAATTGTAAAAAATCAAATTTCATTAGAACCTTCAACGTCAAACACCTTATAGACTAAATTTTTCCAACATCAAGTAATATTATCTCAGTAAGCCCAAAATATATAATATCTATTTTTTCAATTCAATCAATACAATATAAAACTAAAAATACAATTTGTGTTACAAAAGACCGAGTTCCTCGTCTTTGAGTAACAAAGTATGCTGAAGTTTTAACAAATAAAAATGTGTTAAAATAATTGGAGGAAGCAACCTCAAAGAAAAATCTAATCAAATATCCTAGTAAACTTGGGAGACCTAAGAAAGCTATTAAAGATGTACAAAATATTGTGTAGGAACAACCAATTGATAATATTGATGATAAGTTTATCATTCATCAGAAGATGATTGTAATGACAATTCATTAAATTTAAGTATTGAAGAAGTATTATACAATACACCAATTTGGTCTCAAATAAAACCTGGAGTATTTCTTTTAATAGATTTTATTGGAGGGAACCGTAAGAAACAAAATTTTAAGTATGTATGTTTAGTTAAACGTGTAGATGAAGATGATGGGGATATTTTAGTACGAGGATTAAAAAAAAATAATGAAATTGGAACTGATTTTTATATTGTTGAAAATGACTTGTCAGATATTACAGTCGAGATGATTCTTGCAATATTACCAATATCAATTGAACATAAGGACAGAAAAACGATATACACATTTCCTGGATACATAAATGTCGATGAAAAATAATCAGATTAGGCACTACGTTACCTACTTCTTCATACATTAATTTTTGTGATTAATGTTGTTAGTTTGTTATTTTGTTTATAATTTTTACTTAACATTGTTACTTTTTATGTTAAATTATTATTATCACTATTATATGAAAACAAAAGACTGTTAATATTATTTGAAAGTTTATGAAATAGTAAGTAAGCATTAAACTGTATTAAATTATGTTAAAATAATAAATATTACCTAATTATTTGACTAATGTAATTATAATTTATGTAATTCAAACAAATGTTCATTTGCCCCAGGCTTACAATATTATCTACTATACTTTAATTTTCATTTACCCTATACACAATATACTATTTGGGACAAATGGAAATTTGTAGTTATGGAATACATGAATTAATATAATGATAGCTATAACAGAACAATTTCATTTGCCCATTAGGTTTGTTCAATATAACACTTGCTGTTGGAAACAGTTATTTTCATTTACCCCAGAAGTATGGGGCAAATGTAAATTTTTTATGCAATTTTATATTATTTTTTCTCTTAAAATAATCAACTATTTTAACGTTTGATTGAAATGTTAGATACATATTGTATATAGTTAAATAGGTTTTATCTAAACGTAAATTTAAAAAAATTATTACTACATGAATCTAATAAAAGTTGTAAAACATGTAAATTTCATTTCCATTTACCCTACTTGACCCTATAGCAATTATATAGTATAATATTACTATCCAATAGTTTAATATTGTAATTTTTATGGAGAAATTATAAAGTATATTATGTTACTTCTATGGCAAACGTGAAACAAAATTTAAGGGCTTGATGCAATACTTTTGAATCATTTTGAATTTTGGATGGATTATTTTTAACATATTAAAAATCAAAATCAATTTTTAAATGTAAATTATTTCTTATAAAGTAGTAATAATCTCAAAAAAGAAGGCAATGGAAAATATCTAATTGCAGATTTGAAATCAGCGTAAAAACGTGGTTTCGCAAAATATATTTTAGTGTATGCTGATTAAAAAATGTTTCATTTTAGTGATATGATTTTACCGTGTAATCTGTATAAGGACGAATCTTATATTTTTATATTTATTTGTGGAGATATTTAACTTAATAAAAATTTTTTTGGGTTGCTTTTTTAACGGTAGATATTTGTCTAAATTTCTAAAATTATGGGCTATTTTCAATATTTGGTGACTTTAATTTCATTTAGATTAAAATTGTGTTCTTTTGACGTATTGACCATTGAAATATTTTTAGTGAAAGTAGAAAATTTTTCTTAGTTACGCATTGAAATTAAAAAATAACAATAAAAATGTTGATAAAAAAATCAACTCTATGTATTATATATTTAATTGTAATTGTGAAAATTCACTGTCAAACTTATGTGAAACTCAAAATCATTTTTTTAGAAATGGTTTATATAGTAAGAAGTTACCAAAAAATGTGGAATAATTAGACTGGTAGTAGCACACGCAAATAGAGATAAGAAATTAAGAAATAACAAAGTAATAAATATAGATTAAAAAAACTAAAAAACACGCTTTTAAAGCACATCGAACTAAAAAGTTAAAAATAACTTTTATAATAAGCTTAAAACAATAATGTGCGAAAAGTACTAGTATTATTGTGATAAAAGCGTCGGGCGCTCAATATACGAAAAATATGGCACAAAGCACCCACGCATTTATCACAATAATACTAGTACTTTTCGTACATTATTGTTTTAAGCTTATTATAAAAGTTATTTTTAACTTTTTAGTTCGATGTGCTTTAAAAGCGTGTTTTTTAGTTTTTTTAATCTATATTTATTTTTCATTTTTTAGTTACATGTTATGATGGTAGTTACTATCAATATCATGGTTGTAACGTGTAAAGGGGAATCAGGGTTCGATTCCGGAGTGGGAGTCTGAGAAACGGCTACCACATCCAAGTAAAGCAGAAAGCGCGCAATGTAGAGGTAGTGACGAAAAATGACAATACGGCAATCATTCACCGTAATCGGAATAAATACATTATATATCTCTTAATGAGAATAAAGCGTATTAATATATAAGTTTTAATAGTAATTAGAATATATATATATATACATATACGTGTAAAGCGACTTAAGTACGTAAACGTATCATGCACGAGGTATAACTGTGTTTTGTGGGCGGGCGTGGCGGGGGAAACGTTATACTTGAGGTATATACGGCGGCAGCGGCATCGGCTGTAGGGATATATAAATGAATATTAACATATACGTACATATAAATATATATATATTAATATTAACGGCCATGGTAAGAATATATAATCTTCGCATAATATCTCGGCACTTTCGCTGGCGTCGATGACGCGATGTCCGGCGTGATCTTTGGGCGTCAAAAGGTTAGCAGCGTAGATGATGATGGAGCGCGAGTGCGGGTCGGTTTGTTGACGTTGTCACTTTGACAATGGGAAGAAGACTATGGTATCATTAGCGGCGGTATGTCGTCGGCCGTGCCGCACTTGCTGGACTTTGCACCGCGGCGTATAACGCGCGGTGTTGGTCAGTCAAATACTCATAAAATAGGGCGACGGCTGATAAAGGTGGCACGAGTCGTGGGGCATCGTGTATAACGAAACAACGCGGGGCCGTGTCAATCACAATAAAAATTTGTTATATATATATATAATTGATGACACGCACGCGTATACAAGTACAAAAATCAAAAATAAAAATATACAGGAAAAAGAATTATACAGAAAAATAGTGTTGGCGCCGTCTGGTGAGCGGGGTGAGTTGAATGCGTTACGACGGTCTAGTCTCAAGGTCATAGACGACCGGATACGCGACATAATAACACGTGCCGCGTGGAGTTACAAACTTACAACATACAACAAACAAACATACATGTGAAACTAATATAAGCGTGTTAAAAATATTTAATTTTGTAGTTTAAATCTATTATTATATCAAACCAAATTTGACAATAAATACTTTAAAAACACAATATAGTTTAAAAAAACTAAAAAACACGTTTTTAAAGCACATCGAACTAAAAAGTTAAAAATAATTTTTATAATAAGCTTAAAACAACAATGTGCGAAAAGTACTAGTATTATTGTGATAAAAGCGTCGGGCGCTCAATATACGAAAAATATGGCACGAAGCACCCACGCATTTAGCATTATTGTTTTAAGCTAATTATAAAAGTTATTTTTAACTTTTTAGTTCGATGTGCTTTAAAAGCGTGTTTTTTAGTTTTTTTAATCTATATTTATTTTTCACTTTTTAGTTTTATGTTATGATAATATCATGGTTGTAACGGGTAACGGGAATACAGGGTTCGATTCCGGGGAGAGAGTCTGAGAAATGGCTAGTGACGAAAAATGATACGGCAATCATCNGAGGTAGTGACGAAAAATAACGATACGAGAATCATCCTCCGTAATCGGAATGAATACACTACATATCTCTTAATGAGAATAAAGTGTATTAATATATAAGTTTTAATAGTAATTAGAATATATATATATTTAAAGGGACTTAAGTACGTAAACGTATCATGCATGAGGTATAGCCGTGTTTATGTGGGCGGGCATGGCGGAGGGAACATTATACACGACGCATATACGGCGGCAGAGGCGTCGGCTGTAGGAATATATAAATGAATATTAACATATACGTATATATATATATAAATATTAATATATATATATATATTAATATTAGCGGTGGCGGTAGGAAAATATAATCTTCGCATAAATCGCGGCACTTTTGCTGGCGTCGAAGACGCGATGTCCGGCGTGATCCTCGGGCATCAATAGGTTAGCAGCGTAGATGACGACGGTGCGCGAGTGCGGATCAGTTTGTTGACGATGTTATTTTGACAATGGGAAGAAGACTACGGTATAGCGGCGGGACGACGTCGGCCGTGCGGCACTTGCTGGGCTTTGCACCGCGGCGTAAAACGACGCGGGGCTGTGTCAATTACAATAAAAATTTGTTATATATATATATATAATTGATGATAAGCGCGCGTCTACGGGTTGGAAAATATTGTTCTCTACGAGTGGTAAGCGGGGTGGGGCGAATGCGTTACAACAGTATAGTCTCAAGGTCATACACGACGGGATACGCGACATAATAACACGTGCCGCGTGAAGTTACAAACTTACAAACGACAAACAAACAACAAACATACACGTGAAACTAATATAAGCGTGTTAATATGATGAGAAGCTCTCAGCTTCGATTTGAAGATTTAAAATATATTTCCGTTTACCCATTAAATAGACTGTAAATCATCTTGGAATTGAGCTTTATGTTTTTTAACATTGAACACATTTATACATTTTGTATAGCATTTTTTGACATAAAATATTTACAAAGTTTAATACTTCAAAATTTATATTTATCTGTTTAATAAGTATTGTTTTACATTATCAATAATATTACGTTTAATGGTGTTATGTTTTAATTGATAGGACATATTGTCAATATTTTTTATAATATATAGAATAATAGATGAATTAATAGACATACTGTTATTATTGTTGTTCGGAGAACAATATCCTGTAATTGTAACAATTTTCAAAACATTTATTAAGCATAAAACATTTAAAATGTATAATACTTTATGAATTTCTTTAAAAATATGTATTGAAGAAAAACGCACTCACCTTCTAATTCTTCATCTATAAAGTAAGGTATTAATAATTATTTCATTATTAAAAATAAGGAGACTCGCCGCTTCACGTATAGACAACTGTAAGTGTTGTCAAGTCAGAAAATCTATTTATTTCTGTACAAACCAGAGAAAACAGCAAAAAATATGAAGTATCCACAAGCACTTAAAAAATGTGTTGTACAAATGTTTTTAAGAACACTATAGCTTCAATTTTTAATGCCCTTCAGGGAGGCCTTGGGTATAGAATAAAATCTTTTTTTTAAATTCGATTTTCTCACTTCTTAATTATTAAAAAAAAAATCAAAAAGAATTAAAAAAACAAACTCAGTACAGTGGTAAAATCACTATCATAAGAAACGATTTGAAGTAAATTTGTTGATATTGTATAATATCAAGTAATTAGAGGATTATAACAAAATCTAATGAAATTTTGCTTCTGTATTTCCATTCTGATTACAAGTTTTAAGATTTATTAGTATAAAACTCGATTAAATAATCATTATAGTAATTAAATTTAGTATGAAATTGATATTTATAAATCTAGTATTTCAATTTTTACGTGGAAATTATAAAAAGTTATAAAGTTGATGTAAACAGAGCGATCTTATTAATATTAGCCATTCGATTTTTCTTTAAAAAATAATTATATAAAAAAAATTCTCTTTAGCATTTTTTTAATGTTAGGAATATCTTGATGTAGTTCTTGAAATTTTTTTTATCGAATCACTTATATCTCATAATTGTGTCATATTTATTTTATATATAAACGTGAAATACTTTATGCATTCCTTCAAAAAAAATAAATTACAAAAAACACACTCACCTTCTATATTTGATGCTGTAAATAATTTTATAATAATTATTTATTTTTAAGAGTTTTACTTAAAATATTGCATTAAACGTATTTACTTGATAACTATAATATTGTGCATTGAAAAATAGTTTTAATTAGATGTAAGATTTTATAATAATGATAAAACACATTTTAAATAATTTTACTAACAATTTAACATCTGTTAATTTTATAAATCTAAAAGCCGCTTCCATCAGATAGTTTTTATAACGGACTTATTTTTCAATCGGTTTTGAATAAATCAATTTGTGTGAGAGTGATAAAATGTTATACCAAATGACCTTTATATAGAATGCCTTAAAACTAACCTACAATTCATAATTCATGATACAATTATCATATTTGAAATAAAAAAAAACGGTAGCACAGTGGGGTCGAGGCACCATGTGGAGGAGGCATAGATGGGACAAGTATAGATGATATTTGACAGTGATTAAAATCACTATCATAAGAAATGCTTCAATGCAAATCTGTAGATAGTGTTTCATTTAAAGAAATTGGTGGATTATTCCAAAAGCAATATCAACTCTTATTTTTTAAATTATATCCTGATTAGTAGATCTTTGATTTTAAAATATAATATATGAATAAATACTAATTATAGTTTTTAAATTTAGTATGAAATTGTGAGGCCAGCTATGATGTATGGTTCATAGTGTAGGGCGGTTGATAAGAAAGTAGAGCAGAGAATAAGTGTAGNATAGTGTTGGGCGGTTGATAAGAAAGTAGAGCAGAGAATAAGTGTAGCAGAGATGAGAATGCTTAGTTGGATGAGTGGAGTGACTAGAGAAGATAGGATAAGGAACGAGCATTTAGGAAGAAGTATAGGTGTTGCGTCAATCGTGGATAAGATGACAGAAAATAGACTTAGATTGTTTAGTAGTGTTATGAGGAGAGAAGAATTGGAAGCTGTAAGAATAGTTATAGAAATGAATTTGAAGGAAGAAGAGGTAGAGGAAGACCAAAAAGGAGATTGAGGGATGTTATTTGCATGAGAAGCTTTGCTTCAAACAAACTGTTTTTACTGAAAATTATTGTATCAAGCCCTTTNAACAAACAGTTTTTATTGAAAATTATTGTATCAAGCCCTTTAAATTTTTATACACGTAAAAGTAAAGCAAAATATAACTTCTTTATTATTTTTATAATTTCTCCGTTTAAATTACTATATTAAATTATTAAATATCAATTTCATACTAAATTTAAAAACTATAATTAGTATTTATTCATATATTATATTTTAAAATCAAAGAACTACTAATCAGGATATAATTAAAGAAATAAGAGTTGATGTTGCTTTTGGAATAATCCACCAATTTCCTACTTAAAAATAAAAAAATATGTGATTGGAATTTTTTTTGCTATTCGCCAAAATTACTCCTTCGTTGACTAGAATGAATCATTAAATAGAAAATTTTATGAGAATTAAAATTATGCTATTTTTAAGACTATTATGCAGTCAGAAAATTTTAAAATTACTATTTACAGTATGTTTATCAGAAAAACTCATTTTTTTTTGCATTTTTATCGTAATAGAACACCTATATAGAAATCATAGTAATCATTTCTAAGTAATTTTTAGTATTTAAAAAAATTCTACAATTGAAATATCCAAAACTGAATTAATTTTAATGATTTACTTTAACTAAAAAAAAAAAGTTATCATTTTGAATCCCTCATGTGGGCTGTAAAGGGTTAGATTTATAAAAAAAAAACCAAATAAGTAAAGACATGCATCTAAATAAAAAATTTTTATACTGATTTGGTAATTTTTGATAAAGTTATAACAGTTAACAAAGTTATCAGTTTTATTCATTGGACTACAAGGAACTTTCATCAGAAACAATATTATACAAAATCAACTTTTTGCGATGTTTTCAAATGTGCAAGTAGACTATTTCTATCACTTCTAAGTTTTAATATTATTAAAAAATACTATTTGCATATAAAAAAAAAATAATTAAGAACAAAAAAAAATTATTTTAAATTAATACTGATTTTGATTATTAATATTTAAGAAATAAAAAAATGACATATTTAACCTATTTTTTTAATCGTTTAAAGTTAATTTTTGTGAATGTTTATAAAAAAAAAAAAATTTGGTTGGTAGGCATTTTTGAGGGTTATGTCTTCAACTAGATACGATTTGTGATCTTTTGACATATTTTTCATCAAAATTGGTTCAGTGAGAGCTGAGATTGAGCGTTACAGACAAAAAAAAAAATATATCATTGTAAAATTAATACATACTCAGCTTCTCATCGAAGCTAAAATTATTGCTTTTTACGAACACACTGTGTACAATGCATATTTTACCTTCAATACTATGCTGAGAAGGTTTTTTATTAATTAATACTAATAAGAAACACATTTTCTATTTTTAAATTCAAATTAGCCATTTTTCAATGCTTTTCTAATAGATATTATTGATGGATCGACAAAAATTTTAGGAGAAGTACTCATTGAGTTACAAGAATTTTTTAATAGATTGACGGGCATAATACATATAAAGTATGTGTCATAAATATAAAACTCAATGAATTAAATCGCACTACATATCCAATTCATATAATAATATGCCTGTATCTAATATTTTATATACTTTTCTTTTTGAGTTACTGTAATGATTTGGGAGAAAATGAACAAGTTTCAATGTACATTAAATTTTCGAGTTTCCTTAAATTTCCTTTTTTCTGAGATTGCATTGTTGGGAAAAATAGTTAGTTATAGTTAAAATTAACAATTAGTAAAATTTAAATTAAGGTTCAATAGAATAATTATTAAATTTATTTAGTAATTACTTGGAATTAATGAACTACCTGTATATAACAAAATTAATTAATATTTAAAGAATAACTAAAATCAAATTTTATCTTGAAAAAACATATTTGTAGGTTATAAATCAATTAAAAAAACTATAGATTTTTAAATAATTGAAATATTTTTATGTATAAATCTAAATTATTAGTAAGATAGCATTGTAAAAAGCTGAGTTTACATACAAAAAGAAAATTTTATTGATGACTATTACTTACTAGAACTTGAAAAAACTCCTAATACAAATATCAATAATAGTTATAATTTATTTAACAAATTAATTTTATTGTTGAATTATATTTTTAATGAAAAACATGTATTAATCAATCATTAACCAAAGAGCAAATTTAATAATCGTAAGTTTTGGGAAGAGATATTGTCCNATTTAATAATCGTAAGTTTTGAGGAGAGATATTGTCCATGACAACTACAATAATCAAATAATATTTAATTTAACCAATTTAGTCCAAAAATTAATAAGATGAATATAAAAATCAATTGTTTTATATTACCTGCTGATTGTATTAATAAATATGCCAATATTGCTATTAATAACATAACTGATTTCTAAAAAAATAGTAAATAGCTTATTTATGCATTGATGTTGATATGTTTTATCAGTCACACTAAAAGACTTAAAATAATAGACTAATTAAATTTGAGTTATACGTATACACAATGTAGATCATAATAATATGACAACCTATTTATGATCTACCAAATATTTTTGTGTTACTTTTTTTCAAATAAATTATGCATTCTTAAACTACGTTAAAATTGTATTTTATTTATATTTAATAATAAATAATGTTATATTAATTAAATGTTTTATTTTAACATAACCATTTTAGCTTCGATGCGAAGCTGAGAAGGTATTAATTTTACCATGATGTGTTTATTTTTTTATTTTTTAATTTTTTTATTTTTTTGTGTCTGTCACTACTTTTTCTCAGCTCTCACTGGACCGATTTCTTTTAACAATACGTCAAAAGATCACAAATTGTATCTAGTTGAAGACATTACCCTTAAAAATTTAAAAATTTTCCCTCGTTCCCCGCAAATGGGGGAAATATCCAANTTTATTAGGGGAATAAACTGACTTTCATGAATATTATATAATTTCATTGACATAGAATAAAGTTCATAAGACATATGATATTATACTTATTAACATTTTTTACTTTTTTATAGTCGAAAAAGTAATTTTTAAATTTGAGTTAGCTTAAATAGCCAATTTTATCATGCAACAAAAAGCAACGAACAGGTGCCGAATGGGTAACATCTTGATCTTTCACGCCTAGGGTACGAGGTCCACATCCGTCTGTGACTACCAAAATTTTGCATTTTTTTTTTGAGTTAAAATAGAATTTTCAAATCATTTGATATTTATCTCATTTAAATTCAATAATTTCAATAAATATAAAGGATCTTATCACTATAGTCTCCCCTCGTGAGAAGAAATTGATATTCATGTTAATATTATTTTACTATGTGGTTCTTTTTGTGGCTACGATTTATTTTGCCAACCCTCACTAGACCTACTTTTTTCAACGATACGTCAAATGATTCATTTAAGTTTATGATATTTAAGTTAATGATTAGTTTAAGTTATTACTCTTAAAAATCAAAAAAATATTCCTTATTCAAATAAAAAGTAGCTTAACTAGATTTGTCCATACAAACAATTAAAATCATTAATTTTTAATATTCTTAAATTATTTATTGTCGAATTAAATTTGATATGATAAAAGTATTCAACTACAAAAGTAAATAATTTTACTTTATAATTTATTAATTTTTTAACTCTATTTCTGTGTGCTACTACCAGTCTATAATATGCCAAATTTTTTAGTAATATGTTGCTATATAAATCATAAATTTAAAAAAAAAATGATTTTTAGTTTCACCTGAATTTAACGATGGATTTTTACAATTGTAATTATATTTTTGATAATACGCTCAATTGAGTAAAATTTACTATCTACTTTGGTTTGATTGGTTCATTTAATTAAAGTAAATTATTAAAATTAATTAAGTTCTGAATATTTCAATTGCAGAATTTTTTTAAACACCAAAAGTTATTAGGATATGATTACTATTCTTTCTATTTCAGTTATCTATTACGATAAAAATGTAAAAAAATCGAATTTTTCTGACAAATGTACTGTAATTAGTAATTATAAAATTTCCAGATTGCATATTAATCTTAAAAATTTCATTTTTTTCAATTTAATAATGTCAATTTCAAACTTGCAAGTTGAACTATAAGTTATGGTAACAAATTCATTTTTTAGCTTCGATGCGAAGCTGAGAAGGTATTTTTCATTAAAACTTTCACTTTAAAAGACAATAAAAAATAGGTTCAAAATGATTACCTTTAACATATTAAAAATCAAAATCAGTATTAATTTAATACAATTTTTTTTGTTCTTAATTATTTTTTTTTATATGTAAATACTTATTTTTTAATAATAAGTAATAATATTAAAACTTAGAAGTAATAGAAAAAGTTTAATTGCACATTTGAAAACATCACGAAAAGTTTATTTAGAAAAGTATATTTTTTTTCTGATGAAAGTTCCTTTTGTTTAGTGTATTTATTCATAAGTAACAAAATTTTTTTATTAAAAAGTATTGCATAAATTCCTTTAAATTTGTATACGCATTAAAAGTATATGAATATACAACTCCTTTTTATTTTTATAATATCTCCGTAAAAATTACAATATTATATTATTGAATACCACTTTCATACTCAATTTAATTACTGTAATTATTATGTATTCATATATTATAGTTATAAATCGGGGTAAAATTAAGGGAATAAGTGTTATTGTTGTTTTTGAAATAATCTACCAATTTCATTTTTTTCTATTTAATAATATTTATTTCAAACTTGCAAGTTGAGTTAAAAGTTATGGTAATAAATTCATTTTTTTTTTATTAAAACTTTCACTTTAAAGAACAAAAAGAAGTAGGTTCAAAATGATTACTTTTAACATATTAAAAATCAATAATAATTTGAAAATAATTAATTATAAAAATTATATAATATATAATTAAAATAATTACTAATCTGGATATAATTAAGGAAATAGGAGTTGATGTTGGGTTGGGTTGGTTACATTTTTAACTTTATAATGCTACAACTCATTGAAAAATGTATGAATCAACACAATTTTTTTATGAGAAATAATATTTTTTAATAATCCCCTTTTCATTCGACATTCTTTATCTTAATCAGGGTATTAATAAGGAACTAGCAGATCATGTAGCTTTTGTAATTATCCGCCAATTTCTTAGAATTAAACACTATCTACTGATTTGCATCGAAGCGTTTCTTATGATAGTGATTTTAATCACTGTCCGATTAAATCTATACTGGACCCAACTATGCAACGTCCCCACTATGCCGCGACTCCACTGTGCTGGGTTTTTTAACCCCTATCTAACAAAAAAAATTGATGGTTCGTTAATAACTTTAGGAAAAGTGCATATGGAGTTATAAGTATTTTAATTGATATTGTAACCATGAATTAAAATGCCTTCTTAACTCTTCTATAAGTTCGTCCTAATTTTTTAATTATCCCATTAAATTATTTTCTAAAAAAAACTCTGAAAACGAATATTTAAAAACATTAAATAAAAAAATATTTAAATTTTTTTTATTATTAAAAAAAAATAAAAAAAATGGTAATACTGTAATGTCATGAACCGTGTGGACGTAATATTGTTGGAACAACTATAGATGATTTCTGGCAGTTATTTAAATCTAGAGTCGAAAAAGTAAAATATTTGTACAGAAGTTGCTATTTTGAAACTCACACTTTAGGTTGATAATTAATTTGATGTCTTCAAATAATTTTCATCAAATAAAAAGGATTCACCTAAGGTGTTTATATAAAAAAACATTCATTTTGGTGAGCTCATTTTTCAAAAAATTGTGGCAGTTTTAAGAAAAAATATGTCAAAATTTATTTATTTTAGAAATCGTAAATTTTTTGGAGATTTGCAACATTTATAAGGAACGAGGTAAATATTATCAATTTTTAAGGGCAATGTCTTCAACTAGATACGATTTGTGAACTTTTGACAAATCGTTGAAAGAAATTGGTCCGGTTAAAACTGAGAAAAAGTGGCAACAAATATTTATTTATATAAAAGAATACCTTCTCAACTTCGGTTTGAAACTAAAAATTATGTTTTTAATATAGTCTATAAATGCATAAATAGAATGAATAACCATTTTTTATCCATTTTCATTACAAAATAATTAGATGGGTCGATTGTAATTTGAATAAGTATTTTTATATATAGTGTAGGTATGTACCGTCGGTAGAGTATGCATTAATAATATTCTAATTAAGTTTTATGATTTATAACTGCAATATATATAAATATATAAAGGGAAATGGTCCGAATTAAAAAAAAAGTATATCGAATGAAAGAAGTATATAAACATTATTTCTCTTAAAAAAATTGTAATGATCCATTCATTTTTCAAAAAGTTATAGTATTTTAAAGTTTAAAATATAAAATCGAATATTTTAAGACAAAAATAGCATACGGTAGCCATTTTCACTGTGAAGACAAAATAAATTCGATAATTTTTATTCCATAATAAAGTATATTACATTATCTATTGAAACCTTAGATATTTCCCTTTCATTTTATATAATTTTTTTTGAAAATCTAACACTTATTCTGTTCACTGGAGGGATTTAAAATAGTAACTTTTTTACAAAAAAAAACTTTTTCAACTTAATTTTTGAAAATGTTCCAGAAGTACTGCGTCCTTTAAACATATATCAAATTAAAGTTTTTTTTATGTACTATAAAATGAAAAAAAAAATTAGTCCCGACACCTAATCTTCTATGTGCAAATGACTGACGAAATTTAAAAAAAAATGTAATGTTTGCAATAAAAATTACCTTTTATCGGAATGTTTTTTGTACTTAAAACTGCCATAACTTTTTCAAAAATAAACAAGTNATGTTTTTTGTACTTAAAACTGCCATAACTTTTTCAAAAATGAACAAATAAAAATAATATTTTTTTGTATTGAAACCTTAGATATTTCCCTTTCATTTGATATAATTTTTTTTGAAAATTTAACACTTATTCCCGTTCACGGGGAGGATTTAAAATAGTAACTTTTTTACAAAAACTAACTTTTTCAACTTAATTTTTGAAAATGTTCCGGAAATACTGCGTCCTTTAAACATATATAAAATTAAAGCTTATTTTATGTACTACAAAATGAAAAAAAAAATTTGTCCCGACGACCTATTTTCTCTACGCAAATGGCTGCCGTATTCAAAAATATGCTAATTTTGTATTAAAATTATGGGATTTGTATTTTATTTTAATAGAAGTTGATGTTGATTTTGCAATTATCCATCAATTTTTTAAAATTAAACACTATCCACAGATTTGCATGGAAGCGTTTCTTATAATAGTGATTTTAATCACTTTCAGATTAAATCTATACTGGACCTAACTATGTAATGTCTCCAATATGCCGCGACCCCACTGTGCTACCGTTTTTTAAAGTTAAAAATAAAAAATCGAATGTTTTAAGACAAAAATAGCATACGGTAGCCATTTTCACTGTGAAGACAAAATAAATTCGAAAGTGTCAGTATTTCCTAAACACATTAAAATAATAATATTTTGTGAAAAAATTGTCATCTTGAATCCCCCCCTTTGGGCATGTAAAGGGTCAGATTTATAAAAAAAAATATATTAAATGATAGATAAAGACATCGTGCATCTATAAAAAGATAAGTTATTTGTTTTTGAAAGAGTTATGACAGTTTTAATTAAAAAGATTGAAACATTTTTGAAAATAAGAGATTTTTAAATTTGTAATTTTTTTGAAGATTTCGCTCATTTACGGGGAACGAGGGAAATTATTTCAATTTTTGAGAGTAATGTTTCTGACTTGATACAATTTGTGATCTTTTTGTGTATTGTTGAAAGAGATCGGTTTGGCGAAAGCTAAGAAAAAGTGGTAACAGACACAAAAAATAAAAACAAATAAAAAAAAAAACACATTATAGTAAAATTAATACCTTCTCAGCATCGCATCGAAGCTAAGTTGTTAATAAGGGCCAGAACGTTAAAATACAGACAGATAACTCAATATTTTATTCATCAATTTTAAATTTTAAATTGACGTTATTGCTTAAAGTTCACATTATTAGAAAACAAATGTATTTGAAATTCTAAACTTACATGAATTTCTGAAAATTTTTCTTTTTGAGCACAATTAAACCAGTTAGAAGCTATTATTTTATAGTGATTTCCAAATGTGATAATGTATAGAATAAAATATATGTTTCAACTAAATTAAAACAATTTTCCTCGGATTTAGAGGTCCACAAAGTTAGAAATTGTATAAAATACACTTGTTTTAATGTGCATAAATAAATGACGTCAATTCTAAAATTTAAAATTTATTAAATTAATATTGAATAATCTGTTATTTAACGTTGTGGTTGTTCTTAACATTTTTACACTGAAAAAGTCAAATGAAAATGTCATAAAAAAATTTTTTTAATCTAAATATATCACTAAAACCAAAACAAATAGTCGGGCAACCTTTTCTAGATGATTTGGCATGGATTGACTCAAAAGCTCTAAAAATGATTATTTTAAATTTAAAAAAAAAAAAACGGTAGCACAGTGGGGTTACTATTAATATTAAATAATAAAAAATATATTTTTAGCATAGTGTAAGAATGCATAAATTATAAAAAAAATTGATGTTACATTTTTAGTAGATCAAAAGTTATGATATTAGAAAAATATCGTGAATCTTGTTGGTTTTAGATAAAGGAGTTTCAGGTTTGTCAGTTTTTAAATTTTGTTCGCGATTAATAGGTTAGATGTTTCCACATCACTAAACATTAATATAAACTATTGTTGAACTTATAAAAATTGTATTTATATTGAGTTTAATACTTTGTAGTCATTTATGAAATTAAAGTATCTGCTTATTTGTGGACATACTTACCATTTTGTAATAACTTAAAACACTTTTTAATTACTTAAAATTATGTTTTAATTAAAGAAAGTTTGAAAATTATTATGAACAGAATTCGATTGTCTAAGTATCAACTGAACTATATACTAAATAATAATTATTTATAATGCATAATGCCACGTACATTTTCATCGATAACTTAATTTCAAAACACAAAAATATTACTTTATTTTTTGGGTTTTAAACAGATGTTATTAACATTTATTTTATTTACTTTACAAATAATATGAACGAGTATATTATCAGTTATGAAGTTATAATAAGCTATAGTATATCGACTTCTAAAAAGACGGTTTTATAAAATTACGATAACGTCATAGATATTAAATACGTTCAATTATTTATGCTTATTTATTTCAAACTCGAAATATTATTCGTAGGGTAAAAAAGGGAAAGCTAGAACCCTCCCATCCATCGGAAGATGGTGAATGGGCTTGAATCACTATTTACAAGAAATATTCCGTCAAAATAAAAATTCTAATCATATATCTGTCATAAAAAAAGAAGTATATAAGATATAATGATTGACTATGTATGTGATATTAATACTTTTGTCATAAAAAAAGAAAATGGTAAAAAGAAACATATAATTGGCTATACAGGGTGGCCCACCACTCACTGACAACTTAAATAACTTTTGATCCAGTTAATATTTTTAGCTGATTTTTTTTTTTAAATAATAGTTATACGTTAGGTCTATAGCTATATCTCAATAATTAATTTTTTTACATTTTATTAAAAATATTAATTATTTTTAAATTTTAAATAAAATGTAAAAAAAAAATCTAAGATAGCTATTTTGTAGAGTAGAATTTAAGAAAAATTTTAGTAAAAAAATATCTTATTAATATTCAATAGTAAATATTCTGTAGCGTTTTGAAGTTTGTGAAAATTTGAATTTTCATGTATTATTTTACGGTATTAAACATTGAAATACGTATTGAGAAAAGGACAGAAGAAAACGCTATCTTTTCATGATTACTGTGTATACATATGATGATAATGTGTATACATTACAAACTTGGCATTAATACCATGATAAGAAATTAGATAAGGCAATTATTACTTATCACTCTCATTCAAAAGTATATTGAAAAGATAGCGTTTTCTTCTGTCCTTTTCTCAATACGTATTTCAATGTTTAATACCGTAAAATAGTACATGAAAATTCAAATTTTCACAAACTTCAAAACGCTACAGAATATTTACTACTGAATATTAATAAGATATTTTTTTACTAAAATTTTTCTTAAATTCTACTCTACAAAATAGCTATCTTAGATTTGTTTTTTACACTTTATTTAAGATTTAAAAATAATTAATATTTTTAATAAAATGTAAAAAAATTAATTATTAAGATATAGCTATAAATCTAACGTATAACTATTATTTAAGAAAAAAATCAACTAAAAATATTAACTGGATCAAAAGTTATTTAAGTTGTCAGTGAGTGGTGGGCCACCCTGTATATTTGATATTTATAATATTTTATAATTAAGAAAGAGGAATAATAATAGAATGTAGATGTTATATATAGATGTTATGGTTAATAGATTGTTGAAGTACGTTTAGCTACAAGGTGAAAATATAGTGTACAATATATATATCCATGAACTCTTTATTAAAATACTACCACCACGCGTGGTTTGTCGTAAAAAGTAAATTGAAGGAAAATTATATTCGGATGATGCACACCTGAGTCATATTAATTCTACAATGAAATGTGCAATGATTACGGAGTAGGATTTTACGACTCTTAATATTTATTGGTCATGCTATATGAATGGGAAACAACGTGTGTTCATGTAAAATGCTACTGTCCAATTAATGGGCGCCAAGCCTTAATGTCTGAATTATTTTCTTTATGTGGTTATATAATACAAGTTAAAACATCTACGTTGAACGCGTACTATTATGATCCGAATGGTGAGAAAGTAGTTATTAATAACTTTTCAAATTATCCACCTTTAACAATTCTATTATTCCCTGGATAAAAGTTATTCTTGATTTATCTTAAGTCTACTCTTAATTTTATGGCATGCTTAGAAATATAATTTCTTACGTTGTGTCCAACTAGCTTGATTGTTTAATGCGTAAAAGATATATATGTGAAGAGAGCACTAACTTTTATTTACTTAATAGTTTTTGTAAAATTATGCAAATTGTTAAACTTGAAATATTACTTCACTGTAATTCCTTTCTATACTTGGTGTCTGAGTATATATGTTACTTTATATTTTAAAATAAGAAAAATTATATAACCAGATAGCTTATGAGAACCAATCCCCAGTGACACGTTATAAACTATTGTTTTACGAATAGTTTTAACCGCTAGATGTGCTAGGGTAATGACTTCAATAAACTATCGATATTTTATGAAATTGTGTATTTGACATGAGAGTCGACAGAGTTAGAGACAGGCTGGCTACACCATCGGAGATTACTCTCGTCGATGCACGGACCTCACAGAGTCAAAAACTGCTTGCCGAAAAGAACGTAATGGAATATGAGAATCAATCCCTAGTGACACGTCACGAATTATTGTTACCAATAATTTCAACCGCTAGATGTGCTAGGGTAATGATTTCAACAAACCATCAGTATCTTATGCAATCAATCAAACACGTATCTACTTAAATTTAAAGTACATTCTACGATCTCCTTAGTGACACGTCACAAACTATAATATTGCAATAGTTTCAACCGCTAGATGTGCTAAGGTCGATTTTCGAAATGCACTTATTAAATAGACACTTCAATTGAAGAATTAAAAAAATTCTTAATTGAAACAACTCACAAAATATAAAATAAAAATTTAATGTGTTTTAATATTTTATAAATATTCAAAACTAAAAAAAAAAAAAATAATAAGTTAAAAAGTTAAGTTATTCTTTCAAAATGACATTACTTATGAGAGATTTAGATAATAAACACCAAGTGTAAAAAGATTCTAAGTCAGAGAGAGCACATCGCGAAACAGTCTGGTACAGAAACGCTTCATGACCAGATTTTTAGAAAAAAATAAGGTGGCGAATGAGCTAGAAATTGCTCTTTTATAGGCATGTTTTATGAGGGGGAGAATTAGTTTAATAAATAAAATTATAAGTGCTAAATGTCTATTACATATCGTTTAGTACATATGTCTCTTGTATGGCTACATTTGATAAGTGTCAAAGTCAAATAATTCAAAAACTTCAAAACCTTTGCGAAGCCGGATTTTTTTATATAGGTAATAGTAAAGTTTATTATTATAATATTAAACTACAACAAGATATAGTTACATTTTCAGTGTTTATATATAGTTTATTTTGTTGAAGTATACTAATAATTACACCTATTTATATAATATTGATTAATTCATAGTAAATATAATTTTAGGCAACGGTCGAAATGATCGAATGTTGTTTTGCTGAAGTCAAGTACTAAGACATTGGGATGACGATGACGAGGCATGAACAGAATATGCATAATAGTCTCCCAAATGCACTTGGGTTTTGTTCAATAAAGGTAAAATATTTATAGACAAAGTGTGTGGAAAATAGGATGTAAATAATTAATCTTAAAAAAAAAATCTTATTTATATGTCTTAATAATTAATTATTTTGTGATGTACAATAAATGTATTAGTTTTACAAAAAATGTTTTTTTTTATATTTAATGTTAAGAGTTGTATGTCAACCATTGCTTTAAATATAATGCTTTATAAGAGCTACACATTTTATAGTTGTTTATGTGTCGGACAAATAATGGTTTTGTAGAGCAAAATAGATTATACAACGTTGGACAATCCAAATCTTCCACGTCGTTTACATTCTGATTAGGTAAATACTTTTCCAAAACACTTTTTTTCATAGTACCTTTTACGTAAATAGTCTCGCAGCGTAACAGTTGCATTATTTTCGGTAATTTATCGTATTTAACATCCCCAACAGTAGTATCCAAACGATGATAACGCTTTTTGAGCCAGTTTGTAGTTTTCGTATCGTTCTTGACGGCATTTGATTGTTTGAACACCCAGTGACAAAGAATTGTAGAGTCAAGAGCGATGACGGACAATTCTTTAACTAAAAGTAAATGATCCGCAAAAATTAGACTCTGTATGTCAAATATCGGTGAGAAACATGCTTTCAGTATCCGTTATATGTAGGTGTATGTGCTACAGTAACAGTTACACAAAACATATTATAATATCCATTACACGGAATTTTACTTCTAACTTCATATTATAATAATTTGTTTATTAAAAAAAAAAAAAAAGGCTTACTTGGGTAAAAACAGTTTTATTCATATTCAAATTTGCTTTTTACATATTCTATTTCGGTTTTACCTCTAACACGGTTTTGGCTCAATAACAGGTTTTAAAAAAAGAACATTTTTGTATTTAATCAGGTTAAACATAAAATATCCTGCGTTTAAACTCCTCTAAAAAGAATATCTGGCATATTTTTGTCATGATCTGCATCAATTCTCTATTAGCTAAATTTTGATATTAAAAAAAAAAAACAAATATATGTACAGCAAAATCCTAACAATTCGAACCAAAACACAAAATGGCATTTCAAAATCACGTTATAACAATAACACACTAAAACTAGTTAAGATAATTAATGAATACTGTCATGCATTTTCAATAGAGAAATTAAATGTAAACTTACATATATATAGATTATATACGGATAATGATCTAAAATTACTGTAATAATATTTTTAGAAATTATTCTCGAAATACTATAACACACCTTTTAGCTTTTTTATTATATTTTACTTTATTGTAAAACTTCTTCACTTAAGTTAACCAAATATTGTATAATTGGCTACTTCAAAATTTATTTTTCTGAAGAAATAAATAATATTTTCTTTCGTGATAATCTCTTGGAATATATTGAGAAGGAAAATTCCCAAATTTTTCTCTAGAAAATTCTATCTTTACAACCCTAGCAGTATCCAATTAGTAGCGTATTAGATTGACCAAATGAAAACCCACTATTCTAAATTTTTAAATANTTAATAGCGGATTAGATTGACCAAATGAAAACCCACTATTCTAGATCTTTAAATGCAATTATTTAAAAAATATAACTAAATTGATTATTAACTAATTAACATTGAAGTAAATTTTTATACTTGAAATTCTCCTTTAAGTATTTAAAATTACCATGTAATAATAATATTAATAATTTTATTAATAACTAAATACCAATTATTATTTATTATACTGAATATTTACTTAAATTTCAAGACGAAAAAGATAGGCAGCACTACTTACACACCTATATATTATTAAGTGTTTTATTAGCATTTGGGCGTATTTATTGTATCCTTTATATGACAATAGTTAAAATTACATCATTTATAAACATAAAAATATGTCAATATAGATTCAATCATATATTATGATAGACTCATATGAACTTAAGTTAATTTTGTATTCCTTAAAACAATATAAAAAGTTGATTTGAATAAAACATATTAATTTTAAGTCGGTAAATTCAAAGTTTTTTATTTTATTAGCTCAAAAAAAAATTTGTTTGAAATAATACTGAAAAAGTTATTCGATTTATATTTATAATATATCAGGAATTTCAAGCTACAGTTGACAACTTCTGACGTTGTTCCATGCAACGTAAGAGTCAGAGATTTAGGCATTGTGATTTTAAAAATTTTATACAAAGCTGACCGCAAACGATTGTATTATATTTTTGTTTCTGATTATAATTATATTTCACACGAATTCCGGTGAAATATTTTTCAAGCTCGATGAAGGTGGTAAATTTCCAAAAGAATCAAAATAAAATTTGATTTTAAAAAGTTTGAGAACTAAAAAAATATATGAGCTGATTTCAATTTTTAATAATTTTATAAGGTCATATTTTAAGTTGGTTGTGGTTTTAAAAGCAACTTCATAAAAACTTCTGAATAATGTAATAAGTTTTTTATGATTCGAAATTTTGCCAGATTACTAAGTATGTCAAAGAATACCAATATTAATTTATCTATGTCAATAAATTTCGCTTAGGAAAAGTTTTTTAGGTTATAGATAATGAACAATAACCTTAATTAAAAAATCAGTGCGTGTTACGAGTACGTGTAGATACAGTGAAACTTCTTTTATTATGAAGATTTGGCGAGTAAATTGTATGTATTGTGGTTTTTTAAATTTTTTAAAGAAAAAACAACACAAAAAACTTTTACGCATATAAATATATTTGCTATATAATGGCAAATATGTTTACAACATACTTTTACGAATATTTAAATTCAAATGATATAATGATGATTAACTACCATTAATTATTTTTAAATGCTATCTGCATTTGTTCTTTTTTGAATATATGCTTTTCAGAGAAGACATCACAAGATTATTTAATATTAGTGTTTGATATTTTTTTAATCATGCTTAAATATGACAGCGTTGGATCATGAGGAAGTCACAGGTGGGTTGGGCATCTCTTAAATAATGTTGTCTACTAAAAAAAGTTTATTTAATGATAAAATTGGCAAAATTTATTTTGACGTCTAAAATATTTTAGTACCACCTTTGAAAAATTTTTGAATCACCATGAAACTTTTTTTAAAGTGTAAATACTTGAGTATTTTCAAATGCGAACATTTAGATGGTGTAACCATGCAGCACTAATTAGTAAGATATGCATACAGTGTTGCCTACCATCAATCCCCAAATTTATTGAAAATATGAATTTCTTTTTATCTGAATAAAATTTTGTATCAGTTTCATTTATTTTATAAATATATTTGTAAATTAGTTATTATAAATGTATTTATAAATACATTGCATGCTGATAACAAAAAGACGCTTTTGAAACAACCTTATTGATNATACATTGCATGCTGATAACAAAAAGACGCATTTGAAACAACCTTATTGATATATGGATATATAGTATACTTTATAATTAATTACAATTCATTGTTTAATATGATAATAACAACATTATGTGTAAATTAAAGCAAGTACATTATATTTCCTCACAATTTCAAAAAAAAAAAAAAATAATAATAATAGAAATTTTTTATTTCAATGTTTGCAAAAGTGATTTTTCCTATTTATTGTTTTGATACAATCCACGCAATACAATTCCGGACAAAAATAGTTAATGCTATATTGACCTGGTTTTTTATTACATTTCTTACAATTCTTTTTTAACCATATTATTTTATACATAGGACCTAAAAGACATTAGAATAATGTAAATATGTTAATTAAAATTTTTCTATGAAAATTTTTTATGTATTGACAATATTTTTATTAAATTATTTTAATCATCTTTGAGATCTAAGATATTACCATGTTCATGATAGTAAAAACAACATGGACATATCACATACATATCAGACTTTCCTGGTCCGATAAAGTCTGAATACAAACATGAATGACATATTCTCTTTTTACAACATTTTGTCAAATAAATTTTTCCATGATCTTCAGGAATAACTGATTTACATAAATGACATGCTAAAAATTTGAATACGTTTTTTAATTTTTTCATAAATTATGATTCAAATTTTATCGAATTTTCAATTTATCAAGTTACAAAATTTATTTTAAAATCAATTTAAAATTTATCCAAAAATAATAAATTAGTTTGAGATATATTGTTAGTGCATTAATTAGCATAGAATTGAAATGTTCCTTGATTAGTTTAAAAATTTAGCGAAAAAATCCACTCCTACCATTCAATCATAATTTCATCTCACTATTTGAAGTCCTACTATTACACAAGGATGAGCAAGTTACTGATTTTTTTAATTGGTTAAAATGATGTTAAATTTAAAAAGTTAACAAGTTAAAATTAATCCGATGTTTATTTATTTTTTAATTAAATTAAAAGTTAAGTTGATGATATCTTATTAACATTGAACAAAATATTAATTACTTTTTTAAACTACAATATATTACTTTTTGGACAAAGTTTGCCTATTGCAAGTAAGATTTATTTCAACAAAAAGATTATTTTAAAAGCAAAACAATAATTTTTTACAAAATATTTTAAATTAGTGTAATATTATATTCAGAAGTATATACATTAGAATCACATAAATTAGAACGGTATTGAAATTCTATGAATACGTCTCTCAGAATTGTTTCAATATGCATATAATAAAATAAGTTTAAAAAATTTGAGTGAAACTTAATTTTTATTTAAGTTTGTAAATACATTACCGGTAGTTATTACATCTTTAGAGCAAATTAAACAGTTCGTATTTCCTTTTATTTTTAGTGAACTTAAAATACATGATACACAAAAAATAGAATCACAATGTTTAAATGTATCAGTTTTATTAGAAATAGCCTCGAAACAACAACTGCACTCTTAAAAAAAATCAATAAATTAATTATAATAACAAAATAACAATAAAAATAATTGAATGAAATTAAACATTTTTAAATTTTTTATTCAATCAAAGAGCTATAGAATAATTTGAAATTAGATTATAGTAATATTTTACATCTTTGATAATTATACACACAAATTTTCATGAATATAAAGGACTTCAGAAACATTATCTTAATTGTTATTCGTAATTGTTATTATTAACTATATCTTGTAGCTAATATAGCATACGTCCCTGAACTTTTTCAATCTTTTCAACCTGATAAGTTGGGTAAAGATTCCAAATAATAAACTCGTACTGTTATAAATATCATTCTAGAGAAGAGTACAATGTATTAAATATCCATTCAGGCAATGATTATTATTAGAGCATTGTGCGGATGTCGTAGAGGGATCCGCTAAGATCAGAGGTTTAACAACCCTGAGGACCCTAGTTATCTCAATGGAGGTGGTAACACATATCACTGTTCTTAACCAATCATGACTTTGATTAGTTGGAACCAGTAAGCCTTGGCATACCTGCTCGTTAACAGAGAATAGACGCCTTAACCAAATGAAAGTATTGTTAAATTGTCACAGAATAGTTAGCCAAAAGCACCTTAGAGTATTCAGCGTTATCACAGTATCGAGCCTGATGTGATGAATTTTTTCATGTCTGCTTGTAGGAACTACACTAATAAAAACATTGGAAAACCACAAACAACAATCTAGCGACGAACCTTTCTGTATTATTACGTGAATTAAAGGCTCTTTAATGAAGAATGTTTGAAATTAAAACTCACAGTGAACCGTCTACTAGCAATCTTGTGTGTGAGTTATGGTAAAAAAAAATAAAAATATGCTTTAAACGTAATCCAAGCAGACAATTATTATAAAAAAAAAACTTTATCAAAATGATAATTATATTAAATGTTTCAAGTGTTGTCAGTCAGGTCAATACACGCTGTATATACAAGATATATCACTTACGATTGCTCATTCGTTTTATGAGTGGTTGATTACAATATGGGCAATGATCGTTTTCTTTAATTTTCTGTTTAAAGCATTCCTTGCAAAATTCGTGAGGACAAATTGAAGAATAGCTATATTTTCCTTTCTTTGTTTTACATTCCTTACATAATATTTTCAACTTACTTACATCATATTGTTTACCTAATAATTTTCATGATTGAGTTAGTAATTTATAGGGCTAGGAATTAGATACATTTACACATTTTTACTATTTTGCATTTATTGACTTGAAAACTTAGTAATGTGTTGTTATCGTGGTTATTTATTTTGGTGGTGATTAGGGATAAACCTCGGAAAATAAAAATATTTCTACGCCAACACATGTATTAAATATAACATATATTAATAAAAGCAAAAATTATATAAAGAATTTTTCCATTTCAAGGTATTCGAAATAACCATTTATTAACACATGTTTCAAACCAGTCCTTCACAATTCATTAACTACGCCCACGTCAAGGTTTTCATCACAATTAACCAATAATTGTACAATATCAGGATTTTCACTATTCTCCCATTGTCGTATAACCACGTCCCGTGGGGGAAACCCTATCGGGTCGTTATGCGGAAACTCCGCGGTCCACCGACTTCCAGTCAGCTGGAGGCGGAAGTGCTGGAAAGGGCGGTAGACACGCTCTTTCCGACACATCCGCCTCTGCCACCCTCGGCGTTCGGGGACGATGTGTCGGTGGAGAAATTCACCACCCAGGATGTGGCCGCCGCGGTGGCGCACGTGCGGGGCCGGAACACAGCTCTCGGCCCCGACGCGATTCCAAACCGGGTGTGGAGGTTGGTCCACGACCTCGCCACCGATTGGATACGCGCCGTCGCGAACCGCTGTCTCTTGGATGGTGAATTCCCCATGAAGTGGAAGAAGGCCAGGCTGGTACTTCTGAAGAAGGGTGACAAGCCCGAGGGTCTCCCCTTGTCGTACCGACCGCTTTGCATGTTGGATGACTTGGGGAAGATCCTCGAGCGGCTGCTCGTCACCCGGATCGAAGCCCAACGTCAAGGGCTTCGAGGTAGCGGTGAGCCTGGACATCCGAAACCCGTTCAACTCCGTGCAATGGTCATACATCCTCAGGGAGCAGGACGCGCTTCGGGTGCCTTCGTACCTCGGTCGGATGATCCGGTCGTACTTTGGCAACCGGGTCATCTCCTATGAGAGCGCCGCGGGCCTGAGAATCCGACCCGTGATGGGTGGCGTCCCGCAAGAGTCGGTTCTGCTGTAGAACAACACACGTGAGCGTTGTCTGTTACGCGGACGACACGCTGGTGGTGGCGGAAGGCGCCTCGTCCGAGGAGGCTGGTTTGGGCGGATACTTTTGAGTATTCGTCCAAAAACCGTGAAGCCCTGCTCAGGGTGCAGAAGAGGGCGGCGATCCGAACAGTTTTTGGCGTACCGAACGGTATCCGGAGTGGCAGCGAGACCTTGTCGTCACTGCCGCCCGCTGATCTGCTCGTCGAGGAACGCGCTGCCGGGCATGAGCTCCGCCGAGATCGCAACCGGTCCCTCGAACTCGAAGACCGGCTAGCATTCAGGCGGATGATCATGCTCCGGTGGCGGACTCTTCTCTAGGAGGTAACGACGAGAGGCGAGTGGACCAGGTCCCTCATAGGACCCGATTGGCTGGGCAGGTGGGTGGCCGGACTCACGGTGAGATGACTTATCGTCTCACCCAAGTGATGTCCGGCCACGGCTGCTTTAACGAGTACTTACACCGTATTCGTAAAGCAGCCTCGCCGACGTGCGACCACTGTTTATATCGCCCGGGAGAAGCTGACAAAGCTCTGCACACCCTCTTCCGGTGCGACGCGTGGGTCCAGGAGCGAGACTCTTTGAAGTCCCGACTAAGGTCCACGTTCCGAATTGGGTCAATGAAGGACCTGATGTTGAGGAGCCGGGAGGCGTAGAGTCTCGTCCAGGCGTTCGCTGAATCCGTCTTGTTAAAGAAGGAGGAAGCGGAATGTCTGAGACAGAGGCAGCCACGCCGCCTGGTACAGGAGTACCTGAGGTGCTGGTTTAGGCCGGTGCCTTAGGTTCTTGTTTTAGTGAATTATTTTGCCAACTCTCCCTAATGGTTTCCACTCTGGGATCCGATTAATGGGAGGGAGCCACACCACATTGCGAATCAGCTCTTGATTAATTTCGAGCTTTCACAAGTGTGAGTAGTGGTGTAAATTATTAAGACGGCGTAAAATTATTAACATTTGTAATTGTAGTATTGATTATAATAATATAATTAAGATAATTAAACAAAATTAAAGAAACATTGTCTAAAACATGTTGAATTTTTACTTAAATAAGTTCATATATTATAAATTGAAACGTGAATAATAGTGAATAAGTGTATTTATTATCAAATCTCCTAACAAGGAATATCCATAGTAATATGATTACAATGATAGAATCACGCAAATTAATAATTTTTAAAATATTTTTTTGTAATTGCGACAAATAACATGAAACATATTCTAAATATAGTTCTATATTGTAAAAATTGATTAAAAAAAATAAGTAATAAATGTTATGTAGATCATAAGTTATATGAGTTGTCAATAGATCCGTTCCACTCTGTATATTAATAATATATAAATATAAAATAATAATAACCCATACGTTTTTCAAAAAGTTTTGCATAATAAAATTAAAAATATAAAAAAGAAATTTTTACAAAAATCTTATTTTTTTATTAACTTTAATGTTCACTTTCACTATGAAAACGAAATAAAGTCCTATATTTTTTTATTGTATAACAAAGTATTTTACATAAGCTTTAATATAAAATACATATAATAGTTTGAGTATTTCCGGAACACTTTCAAAAGTTAAGTTGAAAAAATTAATTTTTCTATATGCAAATTTTAATTTCTGAAAACCTCCTGTATAAAAGGTAATGGTCCGAATTAATAAAAAAGTATGTCGAATAAAAGAAGATTATAACACTCATCTTAAAAAAATTATAATGTTACATACATTTTTCAAAAAGTTATAGCGTTATAAAACCAAAAATATAAAAAATAATTTTTTTACAAAAATCATATTTTTGCTTCGAAGGAATTAATTTTACTATGATATGTTTTTGTATTTTTTATTTGTGACTATTTCCACTTTTTCTCAGCTCTCACCAAACCGATTTCTTGCAAAATTACGTCAAAAAATCACAAAACGAATGTAGTAGAAATCTCCAAAAAAATTACAAATTTAAAATCTATAATTTTCAAGAATATTTAAATTTTTTTAATTAAATTGCCATAAAATTCTTTTTTATATTTTTAACTTTATATGCTATAACTTACTTAAAAGTGTATGAATCAACACAATTATTTTATGAGAAATAATATTTATATCCCTTTTTCATTTGACATACTTTATCTTAATCAGGATATTAATAAGGAACTAGCAAATCATGTAAATTTTGAAATAATCCACCAATTTTTTAAAATTAAAGACTATCTAAAGATTTGCATCGAAGCGTTTTTTTTTTTTGATAGTGATTTTAATCACTATCGGATATCACTATACTTGATCCAACTATGCTACGTCACCACTGTGCCGCGACCCCCTGTGCTGAATTTTTTGATTATTTAATTTTTGTTTATTACACAATATAATTTTATTAATATTTATAATTCACTTACTCAACTAGGCGAACACAGATATAAGTATTAAATATTTGTAAAAACAATTATTGTTTTTGATAAATGATTTATGGTAGTGATGGAAAATATTTAAAATTCTACAGAATTAGAATCATAAAAGTTTTATAATAAATTCGTCTTAAGTGTAATCGTAGGGAGTGAAACCCCATGCTCTACTAGACACTATTTAATAATTTCAGTCGCCATTTCTTCAATATATAGTGTGATTTGCCATATATACTAATTTTAAACTCCATTTTTTAATAAAAACGCATAGATTAAAATTTAATTAAATTTTATACATCATAGCACATATTAAGTTTATAATAGTCTGTCCAAATCACGATTATGCCCCTGTCTCGTATTTGCTTGGCCTATTCTCATTAGCTGAGCGTATGCACAATGCTGGAATTAATTTCCTAATTGGTTTATTGAATGGTAATATTGATTCGCCGAGACTGTTGTCCCTCATATGTTTCAGAGTACCTCAGCGCGCAACAAAAAATAATGCTCCATTTGTTGTCTCTCACTGCCTAACTAATTATGCAAAAAATGAGCCACTTAGGCATCTTATGTCTAATGCCAATGTTGACCCTAATTTTTCATTTTAATTTTTGTATTTTACTTTATGTTTAATAATTAATTTCATTTTCATTTTGTATTTCTATCTTTGCGTTTAATAATTAATTTACATATTTTTAGTATATATCTTTGTCTATGTTACAATTACCTAATTTATGTACTTGTAAATTTGTAAAAAGGGCTTCTGCCCGTGAAATTATAAAATAAAAATAAAAAATAATAAGATACTTTTATTCTACAGCGTTCATTTTATGGGCAACTTGTGAAATAGGAACTTATAATTATTATTTTTTCTAATAAATGGAGAATTTTTTAATAGAAAAATTATTTCCGACCAGCCAACATTTTATTTAGACTATTCTGCATTAAATAAACTTTCGAAATTTACCCTTAAAATTTACCCTAAGGAATTATTGTTTCTTACAATAAACTTTATTTTTAATTTAATATTATTCATTAAAATGTTTTCAACTTATCATAAATATCACTATTTTAAAATAAAATTGCTATGTAATTATGTTAAAATATTAAAATATAAAATACTATTACGTTTTTGTCTAATCTTGTTGCAAAAAGGACAACATAAAAGAAATTTTTCTTTATTATTATGCAAAAAGCAATTGAAACATAATCTTCTTTTACAACATGTAGTCACATACTTTTTCCCATCTTCAGAAATATCCGATTTACATGCATAACACACTAAGAAATTAAAAATAAAAGTATTTTAATAATGTACTAGAAAAAATATTAAATTTAATTTTATACTGGAACTTTTATTTCATATTAGTTTAAAGATAAAATAAATTTTTCACATTCATTTTGCAGTATTTTTTAACAAATAAGAATTCGATTTTTTTAGCTTTGATGCAAAGCTGAGGAAGTATTAATTTTACTATGATGCATTTTTTATTTACTAATTTTGTTTATGCGATTCGAAGCATTTTTTTATAGCATTTAGATAGCGATAAAGGAACAGCCAACAGTCCTTAAACAATTATCAATTAGTATTAGGTACTAGAACTCGTTTCGTACGCTATTACTAATTTGTAAGCAATTTGCCAACAGAACGTGTGAAGTTAGCGAAGGTTGTATGTGGTATGATTCGTATCTTAGTTAATCTATACTGAAGTCGTTAGTAATCTTACTACACAATCATTTTTAAGCATTTAAAGCAGAGTTTGTGACCGAAAAAGATTTGTCACCGACGTAATCTGAGAAAACTACACAAATTTTGTTGATTGAACGAATTTAATAACTAAGGAACATCAAGGCGAACTTCAGAACTGTTTAATTGAAGGTGAATCATATGGAATCTTGTACCTGCTCGTCAACCACATTTTGATCATTATCACCAGTCTCCGGTTGGTTGGATTGGTTTATCGAGGTGATTGTTGTTAATAATGACAAAAATTAGTATTATAAATATAAAAACTGCTAACGATTTATTATTTTAACGTGCGATTCGTATCTTTTGTCCATCACCGCTTAAGGACAAACCCGAATATTGAAGTATTTTTTTGTTTATGAATATGTAATGAATCAAATCCGTTGAAAAAGTTCGGTTTTATTTGAAAAATTATTATTTATTTTCTTCCCGAATATTTATTTTAAAAAAAATTTGTGTATGAATTTATAATTTATTGTTATATGGCATATAATAATAAATAATATTATTATTTATTTTGTCATCTTGTTTCTGTAATATTTAGGTTTGTTAAAAATATAAAATAATTATTAGTCCTAATATTTTCAAAAATAATTTGTTTAGTTAAGGAATCACACTGTGTATATATATGTATATTATTACAGTTGACTAAATTTTAACTCCATACATTTTCTTTTTAATTATTCAATACTGATAGTGATGTTGAAACATTCCCATGACTTAACAACTTAACAACACAAAAGAAAAACAAATGAATATGTCTTATAAATTTAAATTTAGTAAATGGAATATTTTTTGCATATTCTATTCAGTTTTCGAAATATACATTTTAGAACTCCTCATAAAGTTTTGAACTATGGTACCAGAAAAAGTCAAATTATAAGATAATGATTAAGAAATAATATAAATATTCATTGAAACGTAGCATTCTGAATGACTGAGTCAGATATTATGGTTTCTATAAACATCTTTCATAATGCCCCTGATTATCTGTTACCAAATCAATAAACCTTGTTAAGCAATAAAATTAAGTTTACATTATTTGTAATATTGTAGACTATATATAAACTTTTTAATACTTACAATTGGGTATTTTATTAGCGCATAAGAGACATTTATCAACACCTGTGTATAGCCAAGGAATAATACATTCTTTACAATACTTAGTGTTACAACATTTTAAAGTACATGTTTCTTCAGCAAGAGCACCTAAACAAATTCTGCACTCTAAACAAAAAAATTAATAGTTTATGAGGATCAAGTAATGCCTTCTAACGTATTATTTAAAATCTTGAATATAAATTAACGTTATTTAATTTATTAATGCTGAAGAAAATTATTAGACATAGGAATTGGTTATGTTAATAATGAATAGTGTAGGTGCTATAATTTTTAAACACTTTTTATGAGTGGTTAAAATGGGAAAAACTAGAAGGCGGGATTATAGCTCATAAAAAGTGAGGAGTGTTTCCGAGCCACATCGAATTGGTAATAATAATAATAAGCAAATATACTTACTTAATAAAACAAAAAAATTATCTTAAATAAGGAATAGAGTTATACCTACCAATAATTATTGTTAGTTCATTAAAAATCAATTACAAATGAATATTATACAAAACATCACAAGGTCAATATTAAAATTAAATGTTATTTTATGGCCGTGCTCCAAATATTTATATTACCACGGTTGTATCATAAAAATCTTATAATCTTATAATTTCATAATTTATGTTCTTTTTCAACTATTTTTTGTTTAACAATTTTGAAATTTTTATTATTTGAATATATTTCTTATATTAATACTTTTCATTCTTCAGTGCTCAAAATTAGAGCGCTCCCCCAGGATTTAACTTAAAGGGGTCGCTAGATTGTACTCAAAATAAGAAGGGAGGGACACCGCCCCTCTCCGTCAAACATCATTTTGACCACTGGTAACATATAAAAGTAATAATTTAAGAAATTTATTTGGTGACCTTACAGATAAAGTAGATGAAGAGACGAAATCGGACATTTATAAAATACAATGTGAAAGTTGTAATAAATGTTTCGTAGAATAAACAAAAAGAAATATTAATATTTTTAACATAATTTTAATTTTAAATTATATTTTTAGTGTTTAATTTTTTTACTTAGTGATTATTGAGCCGCATTATTTTAAGGCGCTAGCACCGGGACACTTTAGACCACCACAATACCGACTTGGTACAATTTATACTTAGATATAAATATTTTTGAATTGTATTTTGGCTAGGCCAAATGAAGCTTTAAAAATTACTTACTCAATTATGATAAAAATAAGTGTACATATAAAATTAACTTTTTTAATTATAATATAGAGAGCGTTAAAAATCTTTTCCATATGAAAATCAGTCATAGATTTTTCTAACAAAATCGTATTATTTAAAATTAAATTGTTTTGAGAAATAATTATATTGACTAAACAACGCATAGTTAAACGTATACTCAGTGCATTTAATACAAGGAATCATCTATCGTAATACAAAACAAAACCCAAACGGAAAGGGTAAGGGTAGTGTAGTGTGTACGACGATAATGTTGAGTCTGCTGCATGGGTATTCACGTGCGTGTAATCATACAGCAGTTACCGTGCTCTGCTGACACTCCAGTAAGCTGTGAGTGTCGAAAGGCCGTTGTTATAGGAAGGAAATAAGAGTAACACCAAGGTATGAGATGCAGACGAAGTTCAAGACACAAATACCAGGGGTACTCAATAAGGAACCAGAAGTATGAGGTGCAGACGAAATACAAGACACAAGTACTCTGAAATGTCAAGGAAAAGAGTAGGTAGGTGAAAAAGGAAAAAACAAAGACTTAACTTATTGCAGTAAGCCAGACAGTCATGGGCGTCATTTGGGGGGGGGGGGGGTTAGGTGTGCAACCGCNGGGGGGGGGGGTGTTAGGTGTGCAACCGCACCCCTTACTTTAAAAACAGTCCCTATTGGCCTGCAAAAATAATACACCATTATTTTATACATCAATTCAAATTTCAAAAACATTGTATTATTATGGTTACATTGGTCAAATAACAAATATTCTGGTAACAATTAATTGAATAAATAATAAATATATTAAACTCAACTATTGATATTTGTACCGGACGCAAGATATTGATATTGATGTTCGTAATAGTTTTAGCTTCGATGCGAAGCTAAGAGGTATTAATATTACATGATGTGTTTATTTTTTTTTTTTGTGTCTGTTAATACTTTTATTCAGCTTTCACTGGACCGAATTTTTTCAACGATACGTCAAAGGATCACAAATTGTATCTAGTTAAAGACATTTCCCTCGTTACTCGTAAATCCCCCAAAAAATTACGATTTTTTAAATCAGTAAATTTTAACATTTGAGGCGTGGCGAGGCAAAGTGATCTAAGTGCCAAAATTAAATTTTTTGGCAAATCAATAAAAACTTTCCCAAATTTACAAAAACAATTAAATTTTTATTTTTCAAATTTTGATAAATCATGAAGTATAAGATTTAACAAATTATAAAAAAATTTTTGACAAATTATAAAAAACAAATATTTTAAAGAATAAGAGTGTCAGAAATGATCTATGTCCAACAGTTTAAGCACTTAAAATTTTTTCAAAATACAACCTATTTTCTTCACTTAAATACTGTAACATAGCTTGGAGGTCTTTTTTCTTCGTTTCTTTTAGTGGCACTACACCCGGAAGACTTTCAATTTCTGCATTTATAAGGTTTTCAATTTGTATTCCTCGTTTAAAAATGTTACATGTTTGAAACGGCAATAGGGAACTAAAATTGTTCTTAAAATAAACGATTCCTGGGCTATCTTTTGTCACTTTCAACCAAGCAACTTTACTTATTCCCAACTTTGATGTATCTAAAAATTTTGTAGAGGCAGTGTCAAAATCAAAAAATGTTTTTTTCCCCATGTCAATAACCTTGAACGGTCTGTCAAGTCTAGAGCTGCGAATAACACGCTTTACATCATTCACATTGAATAACTTAGATCGTTTAGCTCGTTTTTCAATTGTAGCAAAGTCTCTATCTGAAGCTGAGTAGCTATGACCTGATATAAAAAATTTATGTTCAATCGTATCAAATGTGCCATTGGCAACCAACCATACGTAAAGGAAAAGAAGCATCCTATTTTTAAGTTGCCCTGCACAGTTATCACTCCAAACTGTTAAATGACGTTTGTAGGAAGAGAGATGTTCTGAATTAATAGCTTGCATTAAACATGAGGCAATTTGGTTCCCTCCTCGCCCTGATTGCCCCTCATGCCACACGCACATGATGCCATTGGACGTGTCTGTTACATGAATTCCAAAGTTAAAGCATGAAAGCTGACGACTGTAATACATGCTAGTATGGGATAGTTTAGGCAGTGGGTAGACTTTTTGTAGATCCATAGTAATAGTACACGTTTGACTTCCAGGTAATGTACTTTTCGCAGCATCAGCTTTAATAACTTCGGTGACAGCATCGACTTTACGATGGTGTAATTCAAGTTCTGTCTTACCTGATAAGACTACCAGTACGTTATTGTCCTTTCGTTTAAGATCAAGAGCATCACACGTTTTGCACGTATCCACTCTTGGTCTTTTAAATGAAAGCTTAGGAAAGTCTTTTAAAAAAACAGATCGAAAAAATTTATACGAAATCGTTGTCTCAGGATTTTTAACTTTGTAAGCCAAGTATATTCTGTTCATGTTTAGATCCGGACTTAAGTATTCTTTTTCTGAATTGGCCCGACTGTAATGACTTTCGTCTCTGGGAAAGCTATTAATATGGTTTTTAACCATTTGCCTGTCCTTTGAAGTATACTTGAACGTTTTTACCCCACCACGTTTGTCTTTAAAAGTAGTAAAACCAGCTTTTTTTCTTTTAACAAGAGTTGTCACTTTTTGAGGACTGATAGCAAAAATGTCAAGAAAAGTTTTTTTGCATACCCTTTTGAGGTCTCCATGTCCATTGGGCACTGTAAAACTGATAGTTGATTGCCTTCTACTTTCTACCGGATCATCATAATTTCCATGTCGACGTCTTTGGATGGTTAGGATTTGCATAAGTCCCATTAAGTAGCTTCCTTGTTCGTTGATTCCCAAATTGTAAAAGTTCTCGAAGAGCTTTTTTTTAATGTGCAATACATCATTGCAACCAAACTTACACTTGCAAATAACCTGTAATATAAGAAGAGTTCAATATTATTATTAAAACTATCGGTAGGTATTTGTATAGTATTTTATTTACATTGTCTTAATGAAATACTTAACGATAAAAGAAGTAAAATTACTTACTTCGTTTGTAGGTGCTTTTTTTCCTGATATTTTTGTTTTTCTCTTAACGGTTTCGTATTCTTTTCCACTTAATCTTTTTTCACTTTCTATTTTCCTTTGACGTTTATTCTTTAAATTTTCATATGGTTTAAAAGCAGATTCATCCATGATCGCAAAATAAAATCACAAAATACAGAGAAAAATAAGAATGATAGCTATTTGTACACAACAAAATATCGACTGATATAGAAACTGCAAACCATGATGATGTAATGTTGACTGTTATCGACATTGTGCGTAAACAATAATAACAACGACAAAAATAAAAATAGCATGAATGGACTTAGATCAATTAGAGCGAATGACATGCGTGGACATACAGACAGCTCCATCTATAATTGCTTTTACCAACAATTTATTGATAGTTTGGAGATAGATCTCTTTACACAGTATTGTGTAAAGAGATCATTTACATATTTTATATATACATAGATCATTTTGGTGTAGAAAAAAGTATTTTTCAATTTTTGGCACTTAGATCACTTTGCCTCACCACGCCTCATTTATTTCACTTTTTTTTTCTAAAATTGCCATAACTTATTGAAAAATGAACAAATCAAAAATAACTATTTCAGCTTCGATACGAAGATGAGAAGGTATTAATTTTACCATGATGTGTTTTTTTTTATGTCTGTTGTCACTTTTTCTCAGCTCTCACTGGACGGATTTCTTTCAATAATACGTCAAAAGATCACAAATTGTATCTAGTTGAATACATTACCCTTAAAAATTGAAAAAAATTCCCTCGTTACCCGCAAATGAGGGAAATATCAAAAAACATTACAAATTTAAAAATCGGTAAATTTTGTTATTTTTTTCGACGCTACGTTATATTATATAATATTATAATAGCAAGTACTATTATAATTTATATTTATTACTTATGTTGATTGTGATTCATAATGTATTGAAAAATTAAAAGAAAAATAATTTACTCAAGTAGATATATCTATTTTTATATGGCCTGATGAAATTTCCAAATTCGTATTTTGAAATCTTGCAAACAAAAAAAAAAAAATTGGAATGATGCCCCTGCGGACAGCGACAACTGTGATGGTGTCACGTTTTCATAATCGTGAGAATTATTTTAATAAAATACAGACAGCACATCCGCTGCCTGAGACTGATGAATTAACAAATAATATTTATTGCCAAATCGGCAATAAGTGTAATTATTATAAAAACCCAATAGACCTGACCATCGTGGTCAGTCGACTCCAGTGCCTTGTGTCATTCATCAGTCTCAGTACTCGGTTGTCGCTGTCCGGCTTACTGTTTAAAGTAAAGTCTTTGTTCATTCCTTTTCTAATCTATATACTCTTTTCCTCGACATTTCAGAGTACTTGTGTCTTGCACTTCGTCTGCACCTCGTACTCTGTTATCTTTCCTCACCTGGTACGCCTAGTATTTGTGTCTTGCACTTCGTCTGCACCTTATACTCGGCTACCCCGCTCTCTCTCTGAAGTACTTGTGTCTTGCACTTCGTCTGCACTTCGTACTTTGTTATACTCCTTATCTGGTACGCCCAGTATTTGTGTCTTGCACTTCGTCTGCACCTTATACTCAGCTACCCCGTTCTCTCTCTGAAGTACTTGTGTCTTGCACTTCGTCTGCACCTCGTACTTCATTGTCCTCTCCTATACCCCAAGTATTTGTGTCTTGCACTTCGTCTGCACCTCATACTTTGGGCTCCTTTTGCGTACACCTGGTATTTGTGTCTTGCACTTCGTCTGCACCTCATGCCTAGGTGTTACTCTTATTCTCCCTTCCTATAACAACAGTCTTTCGACACCCACAGCTAACCCGGAGTGTCAGCCGAGCACGGTGACTGCTGTACGACAACACGCACGTGAATACCTATACAGCAGGCACCACCTCCTCATATTCATCTTCGTACACACAGTTGCACATTTACACAGTTCATTCATTTACACGTTTACGCTATATTTGCTCTTTCCTGTGTTACGACACAACTGAGTACTAAGACTAATGAATGACACAAGGCACTGAAGTCGATTGACCACGATGTCCAGGACTTTTGAGTTTAAATAATAATTAGGCCGATTGCCCATTTTGCAATAAATATTAATCGTTAATTCATCAGTCTCTACAAGCGGATGCGCTGTCTGTATTTTATTATAATAATTTTTTACAATAATAGTAACGTAACACTATTACAATCAGATCAAAATGATCTATTTGAAGGTTATGTAAACTTAAAATTCCTAATATTTTTTATTTATAAAATGCATACTATATGGATGTTATACATGTATTACTCGTGTGTATAATAAAATACAGTATTTTTACATTTCTAATATAATAAAAATAATTCATTCTTTGTTCCATAATAGGTAATATAATTTAATACAGTTATATTAATTACACTAATATAACTGTAATATTAAATAAATTACAAAAAATATATTAGCAAATATAATTGATAATAATTTTTCGCTTCGATAAGAAGCTGAGAAGGTATTGGTTTTACTAAGATGTGTTTTTTTTTTT